GCATTCAAGGAATGATCTGGAAGAAGCCTTCATTCACTTCATGGGGAAAGGAGCAGCAGCTGAGCGCTTCTTCAGTGACAAGGACGCCTTTCATGACATTGCCCAGGTTGCGTCAGAGTTCCCAGGAGCCACAGTAAGTCAAGATAGGGTGGGAAAGGATGCCTTTTTCCTGTGCTTCCTGGAAGCAACCAGGTAACTTCTCCTCCAGTTTGCCCCAAGATGGTAATCATTGGAACCCAATTTTACAGTTTTCTCTTTTTGTAAAGCTGTATCTCTGACCTTCCGATATATAGTTGTCTTCCCCAGTTGTGACAGCCAAAATGTCTTCAGACATTGTCCGGTGTATCTTGGATATAGAAGAGGAGGGGAGCAAAATCAACCATGGCTGAAAATTGCTGGTCTAGATTGGTGGTTCTGACTTGAGTCTGTATCAGAGTCACTTGAAGGGGCTGTTGAAACAGTGCTGGACCTACTTCCAGAGTTCTGATTCAGTAGATGTGGGAAGGGGCCCAAGCATTTATCTTTGCAGCCTGTTTCCTGGTTGATGCTATAGGTCTGAGAGCCTCGTTTTGACAGCACTTCTACAGGGTAGAACCTATTAGAAACAGAGAGAACCTTAGTGGTCCCCAAGCTCACCTGGTTATTATAAACAAAGCTGTAAGGCCTATGTGGTCCAGGCATTTCCTGGAGGCTCACAAGGAGTAAGAGGCAGTGCTGTGACCAGAGACCCAACCATGGCTCTTCCTACCTCACCCCAGCATGCCTGCTGCTGAGTTTTGGTTATTTGGTTAAGCATCTCTCCCTACTCCCCAATTCTTCCTTCTCACCTAATACCTTCAGTTCTAGCCAGAGAAGCTCTTAATACCTTTCCTTTTTTTTTTTCTTTTTTTTTTTGAGTAGGAGTCTTACTGTCGCCCAGGCTGGAGTGTAGTGGCATGTTCATGGCCATCTCAGCTTTGACCTGCTGTGCTCAGGTGATCCTTCTGCCTCAGCCTTCCAAGTAGCTGAAACCACAGGCACACGCCACCACACTTGGCTAATTTTTTGATTTTTTGTAAAGACAAGGTCTCACCAAGTTGCCCAGGCTGGTCTCAAGCCCCTGGACTCAGGCAAATCCTTTTGCTCTGCCTTCCAAAGTGCTGAGATCATAGATGTGAGCCACCATGCACAGCCTTAATGCCATTTTTAATTGGCACCTTTTACAAGCAAACCTCTGTGACTACTTTTATTTTGATGACTTTTAAGATTTTAAAGCTTTTTGTCCTTTGAAGCTGCTCATTTGAACATTAGAGGTGGGCACAGGCATTACCCAACTCAGTTTCTTAAGGAGACATCAAGTTGTTAAAATTTCAATAATGGGCTGGGCATGGATGCACACACCTGTGTAATCCCAGCACTTTGGGAGGCTGAGGCAGGTGAATTGCTTGAGCCCAGGAGTTTGAGACCAGCCTGGGCAACATAGTGAAACCTCATCTCTACAAAAATAAAATAAAAGTAAAATAAAATAGTTAGCCAAGTGTGGTAGCACACACCTATAGTCCCAGTTACTCAGGAGGCTGAGGTGGAGGGATCATCTGAGCTCAGGAAGTCGAGGCTGCCATGAGCCATGATTGTCATGATCATGCCACAGCACTTTAGCCTGAGGGACAGAGTGAGACCCCAACTCAAAAAAAATTTTTTTAATTATGATCATTTTGACAGCTGAACTCAGAAGTGAGATTCTGATCTCTTCTTATGAGAGAATCTTGCGTTTTTACATGATGCTGAATCTACTACTCAGGTCTTTATAATCATGGTATTTAAGCCCCCAGTTTAGTTTCTATTTTCTTCTCTTCTGCCTTGATTCTGCCTTTTGTTTCATGGTGAAAAAAAAAATTACAAAAACTTTATCTAGCTTCTTGATGGCCCAGATTATTTCTTAACATTGTAAAACCTAATGTAAGTGCTATTTACCATCCACTGGAGTTACACTTTAATTTGGTGCCTTCTTTTTTTTTTTTTTTTTTTTTTTGAGTTGGAGTCTCACTCTGTCTCCCAGACTGGAGTGCAGTGGCCACTCCTGGTCACCGCAGCCTCTACCTGCTGGGCTGCGGTGATCCTTCCTTCCACCTCAGCCTTCCAAGTAGCTGGGAACTACAGGCATGTGCTACCACGCCCGGCTAGTTTTTGATTTATTGTAGAGATGAGGTCTCACCAAGTTGCCCTGACGGATCTTGAACCTGCAGCCTCAGGCAATCCACTCACCTCAGCCTCCCAAAGTGCTGGGATTACAGGCTGAGCTACCAAGCCCTGCCAATTTGGTGCCTTCTTAAACTCTCTTAAACTATTAGGCAATTTGAATGATAAACAACAGTTAATAACCATTATGTGAAAACTTTAAAATCCACTTTGTAGATATCTTAATATTTTCCCCCCTAGATTTTTTTTTTTTTTGAGTCGGAGTCTCACTCTGTCACCCAGGATGGAGGGCAATGGTATGCTCCCAGCTACCACAGTCTCTACCTGCTGGGCTCAGGCGATCCTTCCATCTCAACCTTCCAAGTAGCTGGAACTACAGGCACACACCACCATGCCCAGCTAATGTTTTGATTTTTTGTAGAGATGAGGTCTTGCCAAGTTGCCCAGGCTGGTCTCGAACCCGTGGGCTCAGGCAGTCCTCTCACCTCGCCCTCGCAAAGTTCTGGGATTATAGGCATGAGCCACCATGCCTGGCCTCCCCCAAGGTTTTTAAGTAAATTCTAGTCATTATAGTTAAATAAGACATTAAAGCTAACATGTTAAAAGGCTTAATTGCAGCCTGCATATCACAGAGAGTTTTTAATGTATCTCTAGAAAGCTGTTACTGTCTCAGCTGAATTCAGAGTTTGGTCAACACAAGCTGTGAGGCGAAAGTGATATCCAGTATCTAGAACTGTTCGTTTAGGCCATGACTCCGCATGGGCTAAGGACTAGAAAGTAATAGCATTCAACCCAGGCAAGACTATTGATTAAGCTTCTCAACTTTCATAATAGAACAGCAAGCTTATCTCCTATGTGTCAGGTTTCCAAGGCTCACGGATCCATCCCTAGTCAGCAGCATGGGACACCAACCTTGAATTATCTGCCCTCTAGATTATCAGCTAAAGATGTGGTGCTTAGGGGGAAATATTGACATATATTGGGGCCCATGACCTTTAGAATTTTCTTCCAGGAAAGCCTTCATATTTCCAAACACATTAGTGTGTTTCTTCCTTTCTCAAAATTTAGTAACAAACATCCACTGTGCTTTAACTTAAAAGATGACAGTCCCTGCCCTGAAGAAGCTAGTTCTGTACCTAGGTGATAACAGACTAGTTGTATACAAGGGCTGTATGGAAGGTTTGTTCAGGTTATGGGGGAAGGAAGGAAGCTGTGATCCTGTCTGGTGAGGGCAGTTGCGGAGAGCGAGATGTCAGTGGGGAAAGGGGAACAAAGAAGGCATCGCAGAAGAGGGTGGCGCTGCGGCTGGCTGATTCTTGGAAAGTGATCAGAGATTTATCTAGCATCTGAGAAGGGGAGAGCTTCCTAATGAAAGGAAGCAGCATGTGCCAAAGGCAGAGACAAGAGAGGAAGGCCGGCTTGCAGAGCTGCAAGCAGGTGTGGAAGAAAGGGCAGAAGGCAGAAGTGAAAAGGAAAGCACACATCAGATAAAGAAAGGCCCATGTACCTTACTCTGGAGTTAGAGTCTAGTTCTTTATCGTATCTACTGAAGGAGTTTCAGGAGGAGAGTGACATTTTTCTTCATTTTAGAAGGATGACAGTGTGGAAGATAAGATATATTGGCCAGGCCCGGTGGCTCAGCCTGTAATCCCAGTACTTTGGGAGGCCGAGGCGAGTGGATTTCCTGAGCCCATGGGTTCAAGACTAGCCTGGGCAACTTGGGAAGACCTCGTCTCTACAATAAATCAAAAGTTAGCTGGGTGTGGTAACTCGCACCTGTAGTTCCAGCTACATGGAAGGCTGAGACGAAAGGATCGCCAGAGCCCAGCAGGCCGTGAGTGTGCCACTGCACTCTAGCCTGGGCAATGAAATGAGACTCCAACTCAAAAAAAAAAAATATATATATATATAGCTACACTTTTCATGTTTCCTATATCTGTTTGTCTGCTTGGAAGCTCAGAGTCATATTTGATCTATAGTTAAAGCAATTGTTCTAATTTTCATGGCTAGCATATTTTTTCCTTCACCTTATTATTCATGATCTGTTTCTTTTTTTAGTAACTTTGTCTGTGTGTCCTTTGTTGTAAATCCTCCTCAAAATGTTGTGGGGAAAAAAATGGACTATGGATTAATTTTTAAAATAAAAAATTGTTAAGCTTGGGTGATATAGTTATATTAATATACCGTCTAATAGCCTTGAACTGTCTTACAGCACTATGTAGGAGGAAATGCAGCTTTAATTGGACAGAAGTTTGCAACCAACTCAGATTTAAAGGTAGGTCAAATTCTCAGACTAAAACTTATGACTTCCACTAGTGTTTCAGTAATTTGGGGAGCAAGAATGAATATTTGTTCCTTGATTCAGCTTGTGGATCACCTGCTATGTGCTAAACCCTGGGCCTCTTAGGAAGCAACATAACAATAGTAGGAGAACAGTAGTAACTAAGACTTTGAGTGTTTACTACGTGCCTGACATTGTCTTTGCTGCTTTCCATAAATTGTGTGATCCTTGTGACGACCCTGTAAGGCTAGTTAGTACTGTTTTTTGTTTTTTGAGCAGGAGTGTCACTCTGTTGTCCTGGCTGGAGTGCAGTGGCACACTCACGGCTACCTCAGGCTCAACCTGCTGGGCTCAGGTGATCCTTCCACCTCAGCCTTCCAAGTAGCTGGAACTACAGGCACACACCACCATGCCCAGCTAACTGTTTTGATTTATTGTAGAGATGAGGTCTCGCCAAGTTGCCCAGGCAGTTCTCAAATCCCTGATCTCAGGCAATCCTCTTGCCTCTGCCTCCCGAAGTGCTGGGTTACAAGCATGAGCCACTGCACTTGGCTAGTTGGTACTGTTAATGGTACTGTCATTGATTTTGCTTTCTACATGAGGAAGCTTGAGGTTTAGAGAGTTTCACAACTGATAAGTAACAGAACTAGGATTTTAACGTAGGCAGTCTGACCCAAGATCCCATGTTCTTAAGTACTGTATCATCTAATAGTTGGGAGCATGTGGGATCTGGAGTCAGTACCTAAGACTGGGGATTATACAAGTGATGAAAGAAAACATAACTGGCTACATTGACAAGCCTGGGCCCAGACTGGCAAGAAATGAAAGCTATTAGATGGGTGTCAGTAGTGGGTGTGTCTTCAAGTCTCAAACTATTTGGTGTTGTTTTTTTTTTCCGAGTTGGTGTGTTACTCTGTCACCCAGACTGGAGTGCAGTAGCATGCTCACAGCCACCGCAGCCTCGACCTGCTGGGCTCAGGTGATCCTTCCACCTCAGCCTTCCAAGTAGCTGGAATTACAGGCACATGCCACCACACCCAGCTAATTTTTTGACTTATTGTAGAGATGAGGTCTCATCAAGTTGCCCAGGCTGGTTTCGAACCCATGGGCTCAGGCAGTCCTCTCACCTTGACCTCCCAAAGTGCTGGGATTATAGGTGTGAGCCACTGTACTCAGCCCCATTTGGTTTAAGTAGAATTTAAATTGTTGCTATGCTCAAAATAATATCTGAATAAGAAGTTTCTCGTGCAACGAGGAGCGGGGCAGCACAGAAGTTACTGCTGTTGTAATCTAAGATGGTTAGGGTTTGGATGAGAGTGGCCAGAGAAGGAGAATGTGCACGTCTAAAATCTCTGCCAGTGGAGTCACTGACTTGGCTGGACCATCCCTGGGGAGCAAAGAGATTTAACCAAGATGATTCTGGCGTGAATGAACTTGAGAAGTGCAGAATGATTGTGGCTGCCAGCAAAAGAAGGGAACTATGAACAATCCTCTAGTGTTGAACGATCAGCCTAAAAATAGAAATAAGGGAATGAACTCAGAAGCACATTCACATTTTAATAAGAATTAAAGCTCTCATGAAATATTAGAGAAAAAAATACAGATTTTGCAGTCATTATCCTTATAAATAGTCATTAACTCTCAAATAGAGAAGATTAGCAATTCCAGGACTGACCTTTGGAAATACTACCAGCTAAGACGTGAAGAAAAGAAGAGATTGATCAGAAGTTAATCTTTAGAGAGAGCGCCAAACCTTCCCATTAGAATCCCAGAAGTTTTCATAGGTCCCTAAAAGGTTGCACTTCTATCCTGATAAATAATGCAGAGGACACACCCTGGAAGGTGCAGGTAAGTGCATGATTGACCTTTCAATATTGACCTCCCTTGGGACCAGCATTTGCTCTTGGTGTCTGGAGAAGCTGGGCTTGGGACCCATCTAATTGGAAGACATCCTGATAAAGCAAGTCTGACCTTGGTAGGAGATTGAAATGAAAAGTGTTATCTGTTCCTCAGTCCTCACAACAGTCTTATCATTCTGAAGATAAGAAAGAGGTCCAGAGAGGCTAACTAAGGTGCCCAGTCACCTACCTACTAAATGTTGGAGCCAGGATTCAGCACAAGGATCTGCCTTCACTTCACCACCTTATCTGCACTTTCAAGGGGATTCCGTTTAGACCAGGTACAGTGGCTCACACCTATAATCCAGCACTTTGGGAGGCTGAGGCAGAATGATCTCTTAAGCCTCGGAGTTCAAGACCAGCCTAGGCAACAAAGCAAGGCCTTGTCTCTACAAAAAAAAAAAAAAAAAAAATTAGCCAGGCATGATGGCGTATACCTATAGTCCCAGCTACTCAGGAGCCTGAGGTGGAAGGATCACCTGAGCCTAGCAGGTCGAGGCTGCAGTGATTTGTGACCATGCCACTGTACTCCAGCTTGGGTGACAGAGTGAGACTCTGACTCAAAAAATACATATACATTCTCTCTCTCTCTCTCTCTCTCTCTATTATTCTTTTCATATATTTACTTTACTACAATTTTTTTTTTGAATTTTTGCATCAATTTCCATGAGGGATATTGGTCTATATTTTTCTTTTATTGTAATGCCTGTGATTTTGTTATAGGGGTAAAACTGGCCTTATAGAATGAGTTAGAAAGTATTCCTCCTCCTTTTCAGTTTTTTATAAAAAGCTTGGTAAAAGCCGGGCATGGTGGCTCACGCCTGTAATCCCAGCACTTTGGGAGGCAGACGCAAGAGGATTACCTAAACTCAGGGGCTCAAGACCAACCTGAGCAACATGGCAAGACCTTGCCTCTACAATAAATAAAAAAATCAGCCAGGCATGGTGGCACATGCCTATGGTTCCAGCTAATTGGTAGGCTGAGGCAGAAGAATCACCTGAGCCCTGCAGGTCAAGTCTGTGGTGGCCATGAGCATACCACTGCACTCCAGCCTGGGCAACAGAGTGATACTCCCAACTCAAAAAAAAAAGCTTGGTAGAAGTGGTATTATGGCTTCCTTCTGAGTTCGTAGAATTTGCCAGTGAAGCCCTGGAGGCCTCAAGTTTTCTATGTGGGAAGGTTTTAAATGATAACCAATTTCTATAATAGATATGGGGAAATCTAGATGTTCTGTTTTATGAATAAGTTTTGGTAGTTTGTATCTTTCAAAGAATTTGTCCATTTCATTTAAGTTGTTGAATTTGTTGGTGTAAAGTTAATTATATTATTTCCTTAGCCCTTTAAGATCTCTATAAGCTGTAACACAGAGGGTACCAAAAAATGTATATACATTTTAAGAAAGGAAACATTATATTAAAATTGTAATACTCAATGTATACCAATAACAGAAGATGAATACAAGTCATGTTTGACTTCTGTAGTTACAAGAGGTGCTCAAAGTCCAGACACTAATTGCGGTGAACTAAAGAAATACATAGATACAACATCTCTTAAAATGTGCATAAATTTTTTTTTTTTTTTTGGCACTCTTGGTATCTCTTATTCCTGATACCGGTCATTTGTGCCTTTTCTCTCTCTGTCTGTCTCTGTGTCTCTGTCTCTCTCTCTCTCCCTCCTTGTCTTTCTCTCTCTCTCTCTCTCTCTCTCTCTCTCTCTCTCTCTCTCTCTCAGCAGTTTGGCCAGAGGTTTATCAGTTTTATTCTTTTTAATAAATACTGAGTTTTGGGTTTCATTGATTTTTTGTGTGTGTGTTGGAGTCTCACTCTGTCGCCCTCCACCTCAGCCTTCCAAGTAGCCAGAACTCTACCACGCCTAGCTAATCTTGTTTTTATTTTTTGTAGAGATGAGGTCTCGCCAAGTTGCCCATGCTGGTCTCCAATCCACAGGCTCAGGCAGTCCACTCGCCTCGGCCTCCCCAAGTGCTGGGATTACAGACTGAGCCACCGAGTCCAGCTTTCATTAATTTTTCTCTGTTGTTTTTTCTATTTTTATTTCATTGGTTTCTGCTTACTTTGTATTTAACTTGCTCTTCTTTTTTTTAGTTTCTTAAAGTAAGAAGCTCAGGTCTGGGACAGTGTAGGCAAGGAAAGTCGGCAAGCCGGATCCGTAAAAAAAAAAGAAGCTCAAGTCATTGATTTTGAGATCTTTCCAGTTTTCAGATATAGGTGTTTAGTGGTATAAGTTTCCCCTTAAGTACTGCCATAGCTGCATTCCACAGATTTTGATACATTCTTTTTATTTTCATTCAGTTCAAAATATTTTCTAATTTCCCTTTGATTTATTGAGATGCACCATTTAATAGCCCATTCATGGACTATTTAGAGGTGTGCTATTTAGTTTCTATTAATAAAGATTTGGGGATTTTCCAGATACCTTTCTGTTACTTATTTCTAATTTAACTCCATTGCAATCAGAAAATATGCTTCCTGTGGCCTGAATTCTATTAAGTTTATTGAGACTTTTAGTTTAGTTTTGTTTAGTTTTGTGAGTTGGAGTTTCACTCTGTCGCCCACGCTGGAGTGCAGTGGCACATTCACAGCCACCCCAGCGTCAACCTGCTGGGCTCCAGCAATCCTTCCACCTCAGCCTTCCAGAAAACAGCCAGAACTACAGGTATGCGATACCACGCCTGGCTAATTTTTTAATTTTATTGTAGAGATGAGGTCTTGCCAAGATGCCTGGACTGGTCTCGAACCCATGGGCTCAGGTAATCCACTCGCCTCAGCCGCCCAAAGTTACTGGGATTACAGGCTGAGTCACGAAGCCCAGCCTGTTGAGACTTTTAATGACCCAGAGTATGATCTATCTTGGTAAAGTTCTATGTGCACTTGAAAACTTCAAGAACTTCATGAATCTTTCTGTTATTGGGTAGTGTTCTATAAGAGTCTATTAGATCAAGTTGGTTGATAGTGTTGTTCAAGTCTTCTGTATCCTTGCTGGTTTTCTGTCTACTTGACCTATCTGTTATTGAGAGAGGGGTGTTGACATCAACTATGATTGTAGACACTTGTCTATTTCCTTTGCAGTTCTATAACTTTTTGTTTCATGTATTTCAAAGCTCTGTTATTAGGTACATAATTGTATAAATGTTCCAGATTGTTACACCCCCTTCATGAATCAACCCATTTATCATTACCAGGGGTGAAGAAGGTCATTTCATAATATTATTTGCTCTGAAGTTTATTTTAATTGAAATAATCATCCCAGCTTTCTTTCTATTAGTATTTGCATGCTATGTCTTTTTCCATCCTATTTGTGTCTTTTCATTTAAATTGCAGTTCTCATAGACAACATATAGTTAGAACTTGATTTTTAATCCACGTTGACAATCTCTGCAGATTGGAGTGTTTAGACCATTTGGGTTTAATTATTGATATATCTGGTTAGGTTTAAACCTGACATCTTGTTATTTGTTTTCTGTATGCCTCACTTCTTTATCTTCTTTTTCTCCTCTTTTTCTGTACTCTATCAGATTGTTTTCTATGATCTCATTTTATCTTTCTGAATTACTAGCTGTAATTCTTTGTTTTCCTATTTAGTGGTTGTTTTAGGGCTTATAATGTACATCTTTAGCTTATCACAGCCTACTTTCAAGTGATATACCACCATGTATACTGTAAGAACTTTACAGTTATGTACAAGCTTACCTCAGAGATACTGCAGGTTCCATTCCAAACTACAACAATAAAGCAAATAATGCAGTAAAATGGGTTACATGAATTTTTTTGTTTCCCAGTACATATAAAAGTTATGTTTACACTGCACTATAGTCAAGTGTGCAATAGTACATGTCGAAAAAAAGTACATAATTTTAAAATACTTTATTGCTAAACAATGCTAACGATCATCCAGGCTTTCAGAGACTTGTAACCTTGCTTTTGGTAGAGGGTCTTGCCTCCATGTTGATGGCTCCTGACTGATCAGGGTGGTGGTTGCTGAAGGCTGGGGTGACTGTAGCAATTTCTTAAAATTAGATGACAGTGAAGTTTGCCACATTAATTGACTCTTCCTTTCACGAAAGATTTCTCTGTAGCACATGCTGCTATTTGATACTGTTTAATCCACAGTAGAACTTCATTCAAAATTGGTGTCAATAATCTCAAACCTGCTACTTTTTCAGCTATGTTGATGAAATATTCTAAATCCTTTGTTGTCATTTCAACGTTTACAGCATCTTCACCAGGAAGAGATTCCATCTCAAGACACATTATTTGCTCACCCATAAGAAGCAACTCCTCATCCCTTCAAAGTTTTATTATGGATTGCAGCAATTCAGTCACATCTTCAGGCTCTACTTCTAGTTCTAGTTCTCTTGCTATTTTTACTACATCTGCAATTCCTTCCTCCACTGAAGTCTTGAACCCCTCAAAGTCATCCCTGAGAGTTGGAATCAAATTAAACTCCTGATAATGTTGATATTTTGACCTCTTCCCATAAATCATGAATGTTCTTAATGACATCTAGAATGGTGAATCCTTTCCAGAAGTTTTTCAGTTGACTTTGTGCAGACCCATCAGGGGAATCACTGTCCATGACAGCTATAGCCTTTTGAAATGTATTTCTTTTTTTCTTTTTTTTTTTTTGAGTTAGAGTCTCACTCTGTCACCCATACTGGAGTGCAGTGGCTGCTCCCGGCCACCGCAGCCTTGACCTACTGGGCTCCAGTGATCCTTCCGCGTCAGCCTTCCGAGTAGCTGGAACTACAGGTGCACGCTACCACACCCAGCTAATTTTTGACTTATTGTAGAGATGAGGTCTCGCCAAGTTGCCCAGTCGGGTCTCAAACCCGCGGGCTCAAGCAATCCACTCACCTCAGCCTCCCAAAGGCACGAGATTATAGGCTGAGCCACCGAGCCTGACTGAAATGTATTTCTTAAATAATAGTCTGAAAGTTGAAAATACTCTTTAACTTATGGGCTGCAGGATGTCAATGAGCAGTAATATTTTGAAAGGAATCTTTTTTTCTGAGCAATAGCCCTCAACAGTGGGTTTTAAAAATTCAGTAAACCATATGGTAAACACATGTGCTGTCATCCTGGCTTTCCTGTTCCACTTACAGAACACAGGCAGAGTAATTTAGTGTAATTACTAAGGTCCTTAGGACACTTTTGGAATGTTCGAGTAGCATTGGCCTCCATTAAAGTCACCAGCTGCATTAGCCACTAACAAGAGACTCAGCCTGTCCTTTGAAGTGTTGAAGCCAGGCATTGACTTCTCTCTAGCTAGGGAAGTCCTAGATGGCATCTTCTTCCAACAGAAGGCTGTTTTGCCTGCATTTGACAATCTGTTGTTTAGCATAGCCACCTTCATCATTTATCTCAGCTGGATCTTCTGGAGAACTTGCTGCAGCTTCTCTGTCAACACCTGCTGCCTCACCTTGCACGTTTATGTTCCAGAGATGGCTTCTTTCCTTAAACCTCATGAGTCAACCTCTGCTTGACTTCAAGCTTCAAGCTTTTCTTCTGCAGCTTCCTTACCTCTCTCAGCCTTCTAGGATTGAAGAAAGCCAGGGTCTTGCTATGGATTAGGTTTTGATATAACAGAATGTTGTGGCTGGTTGTTCTTCCATGCAGACCATGAAAACTTTCTCCATGTCATCAGTGAGGCTGTTTTGCTTTCTTGCCTTTCATGTATGCCACTGGAGTAGCACTTAATTTCCTTCAAGAAATGTCCCTTTGCATTCACAGCTTGGCGACTGTTTGGCACAAGTAGGCCTAGCTTTCTGTCGGTCTCGGCTTTGACATGCCTTCCTCACTAAACTTAATCATTTCTAGCTTCTGATTTAAAGTGAGAGACATGTAATTCTTCCTTTCACTTGAACACTTTGAGGCCAGTGCAGGTTATTAATTGGCCTAATTTCAATATTGTTGTGTTTCAGAGACTAAGGATGCCACAGGAGAGGGAGAGAGCCATGGGGAATAACTGGTTGGCGAAACAGTCTGAACACACATTTATCGATTGTTTGCTATCTTATATGGGAGCGATTTGTAGTGTCCCAAAACAATTAGAGTAGTAACATCAAAGATCGCTGATCACAGATTACCATAGCTGATATAATAATAATGAAAAAGTTTAGGAGAATTCCCAAAATGTGACACAGCAACAAGTGGGCACATGCTGCTGGAAAAATGGCACCAACAACTAGACTCGCTCAACACAGTGCTGCCACAAACCATCCATTGTAAAAAGTGCAGTGTCTGTGAAGCACAATGAAACAAGGTGTGCCTGTGCTTCCACATGTCCCCCAGCTGTATTTTACTTCTATATATGTTTTAAACCTTACACTATGTGGTATTTTTCTTCAAACAGTTAATATTCTTTTAAAGAGATTTAAATAATCAGAACAATAATCTCATGGACTTACCCAGTATTACTATCTCTGGTGTTCTTTGTTGAGATGCATATTTCCCTCTGGTCTCATTCTCTTTCTGCCTGAGGACTTTTTTTTTAAACATCTCTTGTGGTGCAGGTCTGCTAGTGACCAGTTCTTTCAGTTTTCACATTTCTGGAAACTCTCTTATAGTAATATGCTGAAGCATCTGTAGGGCTTACTCGGTTTATTTCTGTTTCTTAGGGTTCACTGTCCTTTGTTGTTTAATGTCCAGGTGTTTCGAAAACTGTTGTTTCACATATTTTGTCGTTGTTGTTTCTTCAGGCAGGAGGGTAAATCTGGCCCTTTTTGTCTCATATTGGAATTGAAGTTCTAGCTAAGAGTTAGAGAAAGGAAATAAATTGGTCAGGGCAAGACTTTTCAGAATTGGCAGGTGATGGGCATGTGTCGGGACAGGATGGGGAGAGAGCACTATTTTTACCCAGAAGCTGGGATTTCTTAGTTAGATACAAAAGAAACTCTGTACAAAGTAGTGTACAAACAAGCAGTTAATCGGCAAGTAAAAATAACTTTTGAAGCTCCTGGGTGCAGCACATTAAATCTGAAGCTATGTTGATAGTCTCTAGGGACTTTCCTTTAAATGCTGGTCCAAGTCCCCATTGTTTCAAGTGTTTGCCTGGCCTCAAGTGGTGTGGCAGAAGCAGCAGCTTATTGGAGCTGAGGAACAGAAGCAGATGTGACATGGTTTCTAGAAAGACTAGCTGGGGAGGCTCAGGTTGGAATCAAAGGAAGAGGTTTTAGAAACATTGCAGAGCACCTCCCCTGACCTTCTAATGGAGATATTCTTTAATTCTCTTAGTTGAGAGGCTGTCCTGTCCAAGAACTGCTAGGTAAAGTGTTGACATTAGGTCCCCTGGTTGTTAAGGCCGTGGTGGTCCAGCAACTTTTTCAACAGTTGCTCCATCTGACAACTTTGGCAAACAGCAGCTCATGTCTGTTTTCCCACACAGTAGTCATGAGTGAGTCTCAGTCTGCTTGGGCTGCCATGATAGCAAAACACCATAGACGGGATGGCTTAAACAACACAAGTTTATCTTCTCACAGTTTTGGAGACTGGACAGCCCAAGATCAAGGTTCCAGCAAGGTTGGCTTTTGGTATGAGCTCTCCTCCTGGCTGCCGATGGCCAACTTGCCACTATGTCCTCACATGGCCTTTCCTTGGAGCTTGTGGTAGGGGAAGAGAGCTCGGTCTCTGTCTTCCTATCTGATTAGGTCCTCATTTAACATGAATTGCCTTCTAAAAGCCTCATCTCCAGATACTCTCACACTGGTGCTAGGGCTTCAACATCTAAATTCCAAGGAGACATAGACATTCAGTCCCTAACAGGGAGTTTGGGGTACAGCAGCTGTACGGGTAACTGACAACCGCGATGTGGGTCCCTTGTCAGCCTCTCGTTTCTGGATATGTTGTGGCCATACCCTCCAGAGGCCTAGGCCCTGGTAATGGCCCTCATATTGTATCCTAGTAGAACAAGAACTTTCACAATCAGATTTGGTGTCCAATATTTTGTTGAAATGAGTAGAGTCACTGTGGAGTCTGGGAGGAGCAGCAGGTCTCCTGATAGGCTGTCTGTCTGTCACTTATCTCCAGGTTCTTCTTTGTGGTCCAATTGGCCCAAAGCTGCATGAGCTTCTTGATGACAATGTCTTTGTACCACCAGAGTCACTGCAGGAAGCAGATGAGTTCCACCTCATTTTAGAGTACCAAGCAGGTAAGGAAATGCGTAAGTAATGGTGGCAAGACTGGTTGCCGGACTATGTGTTGTCAGATTGGGGTGTGACTGTGCTGAAAATGTATCGTTATAAATTGGTGGGACCCTGTTCTTGCCATACTAAGATTTCCTGACGCACTGGCCCTTGCCTCAAGGGAGGGGGTGGAATATCGCCACACAGAAGAAAATCTCACATACACAAACAGAATTGCTCTAACCCAAGAGAATGAGGCAGTAGCGGGGCAGCCATCTTGAAAAAAAGTGAAAATGTGTTAAGTACACATATATAAACTTTTTCTTTATTACAAAGAAAAGTGAAAGGCGGGTGAAGTCGGCTTGCTCTATGCTGGTTCTGCCTGAGGCCTTTCTGACTGTTGTAGCTGCTGAGAATTGACTCCTTCTGAGCATTTTATTTTTCCTGGGTTGTGTGAGTGGAGCTGGTTTGTATTTAATGTCCCTTACACCATTTCCTATGACATCATGTCCTAATGTTTGTGAATTCAAGTCTATCCCATCCCACCCTACCTCCTGCAGATGTTAGGTATTACACAAACTCAAGATCTGATTTCTGAGAGAATTTTGAATACTTGGACATACTTTGCTTCTGTGTATTTCCTGCTGCATCTTTCTCTCTGCTCAGAACTCAGACTCTTGACTTTCTGATTCAACACGTTGTTAATTTAAGTTAAAAACTTAAGCCTTTTAACAGACTGATTGGTATCTTAAAATAGTTCTTAATACTCTCCAATGAACTGCTTCTAAATCAGATGATTAAGAGGACCTCCCCTCTAAGTAATTACCTTTAATGTAGAGGTGAGCTATACTGCTTCTTGAAAATTATGCCTTTCTCCAGGTATAAGAACGAATTGTTTCTTGTTGCTGGTTCTCTTTTGGGTGCTTACTGGGATCACATGGGAATTACGGAAGGACGAGATCTGAAAATTAGGAACACAGTGTTGAAGTTGGCAAGTCACATTTAAGTTTGTAGTTTCTTTCCATTGTGGTAAGGTTTAAAGGTTGGTGTGTAGAAACCTTGTGAACTGCTTGAATGAAAAGTGTGATGATGACTGTGGACGGGAAGGGTCTGGAATGGGTTAGGAGGTACCTCTGGACTGCTGCTGCTATTCCAGACTCGTCTCACTTCTGTTGGCACCCACAGCGTGAACTGGGGACATGGATGGTTCCTGGAGTCTCATTCTCCCTGGCGACTAGAGTAGAAAGTCTAGCATCCTTGACAGGACTGTGACACTGTTGGACAGCTGTACCTTGCATGTAGTTGAGATGGTACAGCTGAACTCAGAAGGAGACTTCTCCATCCTTGGGTCTATATGCTTCACACTCCAGTTTTTCTTTCCTGTGCTCTCTTCTGCTGAGTACACAGCAGCAAAATGTGAAAATATGTGAAGCAACATTTTCCTAGGCTCCAGGAGGGAACCTAGTCAGGTGGCAGCAGCCCTCAGGTCAGCTCTCTTAACAGAAGCCCATCCCTGACTTTACACTTACCTAGATGGGTATATTCCAAGGATTTGCCAACTTTTTTCTCATTCTCTCCTATCAGAGCTCCCCAGAGAAGTCCATGTTCAGGCTTAGGCTGGGGATCCTGTGAGTCACCCTATAGAGGTCTTGCTGACTTACTGGCTGAGGGCAGGATGATATATTGGGAGGAGAGATTGCTCGCAGAAATAATTAAGAGCTTTGTGAGAAAAGAGGGCACTAACTTCTCTTGAGCTGAGTTTCAATCCCTTTGCTTCTCGCCACTCCATCTGTCCTGTGTCCTGTGGAAAGTGAGCAGCTTTCTGCCTCCTCATTCTTGCTTTGCAGAAGCCTGTTTATTTTTGCCTCTGTCGACTTCCCTGAATAAATCAATTCATTTGGAATGTTCTGTGGCTCTTTGCTCCCAGGTGAAGTTAGGCCTTGTTTTGTTTCCTAGCAGTGTCACTATCTAAGGGTTGGGTCCATATCTTGCTGTCTGGAGAGTATCCATGTAATGTGTTTTTCCCTGTTGTAAGAGTCTTGTCAGTTTGGGAAATGTTGGCTTTGAAGTTCATACCCATATTTTTTTGTTGCCCTTAGGTCATCGGGCTCCTCTCTTACTCACTTGTTCTTTTGCTAATTCATTCCCATGGCTATATATATGCCAGGTGCAGTGTGAGGCTATAGGAGTATGACGATAGAAGATGACACGAGAGCCCCCCTCAGCTCACAGTTTGCTGCTGGGGATGGACACTGGAATGCATTGTCCCAAAGTCATGTGCCCAATCCTATAACAGGGTCCAGTGGTAGCCCTGGGAAGGAAGCAATCAAGTCTGCTTGGGGTGGTAGAGTTAGGGAAGGCGTCACACTGAGGGAGAGGTAGCCCTTAACCTTGATCTTGAACAGCCGTGACTCCAAAGCAACTGACACAGAAGTGGCTAGAGCAGACAGACAGTCTTACCCTGTGGACCAGGTACCCCAAAACCACCAGGGGCAGCAGGGAAGAGGAGGTACAGTCAGTTTGGTGCTTGGGAATTCAACCCGCTTAGGTTCCAACTAAATGAAAAATGCTCAGGGCACTGCTGTGAGGGGCATGTGCTCTGAAAAGGTAGCCTGTCTTGTCTAGAGGGGCACGCATGGTGTGTGCTGTGTGCTGGCATCTGGAAGTCCTGCCACTGCTGTGGAACTGTGTCTCCTGTTGAGAACTCAGTGGACAGGAGCTCTCCTGGGACTCTAGGGGAGCTGGCTACCTTGAAAAAGGTGTCTGGCACCCAGACTGTGTTTCTGTTTCTTTGTTGGGTTTGGGTTTAGACTTTTGGCTTGTTTCTTGCAGTGCCGTGCTGACCTTATACCATTGTAGCTGGGTCCACTCAGCCTGCTCGGAGCCAAGGCTCCCATGAGGCACCTGGAAGTCCCTCCACAGCTAGGAGACTTAAAGCCTCTTCCTTTTCTTCCCATTGTGTTGACTGGGCTTTTCTAGGGGAGCAGTGGGGCCAGTTAAAAGCTCCCCATGCCAACAGATTCATCTTCTCTCACGACCTCTCCAACGGGGCCATGAATATGCTGGAGGTGTTTGTGTCTAGCCTGGAGGAGTTTCAGCCAGACCTGGTGGTCCTCTCTGGATTGCACATGATGGAGGGACAGAGCAAGGAGCTCCAGAGGAAGAGACTCTTGGAGGTAATGGCACCGTCACGACGCCCCAGATCTCAGCTGCAGGTTTTCTTCAGGTTCAGCCACTCGTGGCCTCTAGCTCATGCTGCCTTGCCTCGGGTCTTGGCCTCCCAGGGACACATCTTGGCAGCTGGCTATGAAGCTTGCCTCCTGCTCCAGTGAGGCACCTCCCTGTGTCCCTTCAGACATGGTGGCAGCTTGAGTAGGACAGGTCAGAGCATCTCCTTGCTGAGCCTCTGCATCCTGTGCTGACTGGAGCATGGCTGCAAGGTGCAGGGTGTGTGGTTGGTGTCCTTCGTGTCATCTGTATCATCTCACTTCACGTCAGCTCTGCTGCAGTTCCTACAGACCTGTCCAGCAGTCAACGCCCACTGCTCAGCTGAGGCCCTAGGAGTAGGCTGGCAACATGAACATACGGGGCAGGGCTTTGTCATCTGATTCCATTGCCCTGATGGCTCTCTGCAGAGCCTCGTCTCCCCTGTCAGGAAAAGCATCCCTTGTCCACAGAGGCGGAGGGGGACCCACACTGCTTGTAGCTCTCATGGGGATGCACAGAAGGCGGTCACCAGGAAGAATTGCCTCTCAGGACCTCTGTCCTTCCGTCTTCCTGACTTCTGTTTCTGATGGCACCTCTGTCCTCCTCTTGGCAGGTTGTAGCCTCCATGTCTGACATCCCCACTGGCGTTCCAGTTCACCTGGAGCTGGCCAGTATGACCAACAGGGAACTCATGAGCAGCATCGTGCATCAGGTAACCATACAGGCAGCCTAGGCCACGTTTCAGCCCTGACCCTCCCAGGGCCTTGAGCAAAGCTCCCCCGTCCAGTGGGACATGGGTTTGGACTCTGGGACTGGCTCACTGAAGTGTAGGTTTGTGTAACTTAGACCCAAGTCCATGGAAAGCCTAGCAGGGATCCAGACCTGATCTGGAACAGGTTCTCCTACAAGGTTAGGAATATGGCAGTGTAACTGATGAAGTCAAGGGTCACACTTCTCCCTCTGGGATAGGGAAGTTGCAAGTGAAAGAACTCAAAAGGAGAAAGCTGAAAGTCCAGCCCAGCTGCTCGAAGAAGCTTTGTCAAAGGAAGGAAACTGGGGAACGTCACTGCCTCACCAGGTTCCAGGTGTTCAGCTCCTGCCTTTGGACAGCAGAAACGATGAGGATAAATGTGAGCTAGTGAAGTCTTAGAACACCTAGAAGACGTGGTGGTTGGTTGGCAGCCAGCTTTTGCCACTGGCTTCATGAGCTTAGGCAAGTGACATCACTGTCAGATCACTGCCAGTTAACCTTTTTAATTGCTAATACCTGCATGTGATTAATATATACATATATATATGAAAAGATATACAATGACATCTCCCACCTTCTAGTTATGCCCACCTGTCCCGAGTCTTAGTCATCTCTTTATTAATGTCATCGGTATCCCTCCAGGTGTACACAGATGATATGGAAATATATCTTATTTTTTCATTTCTTTTTACCCAAAAAGATAGCACAACACACTGAATATACTTTCTGCACTTTGGGTTTTTTCACTAAGTGTGTCTTGGAGACCTTTCCTGCATCCCAACGTGGAGCTTGTCCTCAGCCTTCTCACAGCCACATGGCCAAGATGACTGTGGAGGGACCGCAGCTTGTTTAACCCAACCCATCTGGAAGGACGAATGCTTACTGCCCTTTGCCATTACATGCAGTGCTGCAGTGAATTACTTTGTAGGTGATTTTATTTTGCCTGCAAGAATATGTGTGTGTAAATTCCCAGATGCAGCATAGCTGAATTGAAGCATAAGAAAGTACTGGCAGCCAGGCGCAGTACCTCACACCTGTAATCCCAGTACTTTGGGAGGCTGAGGCAAGAGGATTGCCTGAGCCCACAGGTTCAAGACCATCCTGGGCAACATGGTGAAGCCTTGTCTCTACAATAAATCAAAAAATAAGCCTAGTGTGGTAGTGCACGCATGTAGTTTCCAGTTACTTGGAAGGCTGAAGCAGAAGGATCGCCTGAGCCCAACAGATCGAGGCTGCGGTGGCCATGAGTGTGCCACTGCACTCTAGCCTGGGTGACAGAGTGAGTGATTCAAAAAAAATAAAATAAAATAAAGTATTTGCAATTCTGAGATTGCCCAGTTGCCCTCTACGAGAATTGTACTCATTTACTTCCCACTAGCAATATTTACAAATGCTCAATCCCTCTTACCTTTGCTACCAGCATGTAATTTAAAATGTGCATTTATATCAGTCTGACAGTGAAAGATGGCATTTCAGTATACAGTCGCCCCTCAGTATCCACGGGGGTGGAGGGTCTCAGGACCCCCACAGATACCAAGATCTGCAGGTGTTCGAGCTGCACAGTTGGCCTCTGGATAGGAAGTCTACCCTCTGTGTCTGCAGGCTCCACATCCCTTGAGTACTGCATTTTCAGTTCAACTTGGTTGCATCCACAGATGCAAAACTCAGGGCTATGGAGGGCTGAATTTAGTGGTTTGGGTTTAAAAATGCCTTTTTTTTTAGGGTAGTTCTGGGTTCACAGTAAAACAGAGCAAACGTACAGTTCCACCCCATGCCCCACACGCACAGCCTCCCCCGATGCCGACACCCTGCACCGGAGCAGAACGCCTGTCACAGCCCATGAACCTCCGTGGGCACATCATATCCCCCCAAGTCCACAGTTACAGTCATATTCACACTTGGTGTTTTTCAATATAGTTTTTATTTGCCTTTCTCTTTTTGAGGAATCATCTTTTCACTTATAATTCCATTGTCTCTAACTGTCAACCCCCTGAGCTTTAGTCTAAAATGGAGACAGTTCCTCTTTCCCTCAGGGTTACAGTAAGAATTGGATGAAACACAGCCTTTAGCTCAATGCCTGGCGCAGAACATGTAGCAAAAAACCACTATTGCACCAGTGGAGGTATAGGCCATAAATTTCTTTGAAAAATGTATTCTCAGAGCCGGGTTCGGTGGCTCAGCCTGTAATCCCGTGCTTTGGGAGGCTGAGGTGAGTGGATTGCCTGAGCCTGCAGGTTCGAGACCCGCCTGGGCAACTTGACGAGACCTCATCTCTACAATAAATCAAAAAATCAGCGGATGTGGTTGTGCGCGCCTGTAGTTCCAGCTACTTGGAAGCCTGAGGCGGAAGGATCACCAGAACCCAGCAGGTCGAGCTGCGGTGGCCGAGAGTGGCCACTGCACTCCAGTCTGGGCGACAGAGACTCCAACTCAAAAAAAAAAAATGTATTCTCACATACATGTATACTCATCTTTCCATCAAAAACCAAGCCTTTATGTGTGGGCCTCTGGTTCTGAGGAGGGAAGTGCTAAGAAAAAAAGATGGGCTAGGCTTGGTGGCTCAGCCTGTAATCCCAACACTTTGGGAGGCCGAGGCCAGTGGATTATCTGAGCCTGAGGGTTCGAGACCAGCCTGGGCAATTTAGTGAGACCTCGTCTCTACAATAAATTAAATAAAAAAATTAGCTGGGCGTGGTAGCGCGTGCCTGTAGTTCCAACTACTTGGAGGGCTGAGGTGGAAGATTGCCAGAGCCCAGCAGGTCGAGGCTGCGGTGGCTGGGAGTGTGCTTCTGCACTCCAACCTGGGTGACAGAGTGAGACTCCAACTAAAAAAAAAAAAAAAAAAAAAGATGGTGAAGATAACAGTGGTTTCCGTGAGGTGAGTAGATTGCCTGAGCCCACAGGCACCTTGGCTCCAGGTGGGTGGGCCTTCTTTACACAGGATTACAACTAAGTGCAGACAGCCTTCCTACCTACCCCTGCTTTTGAAGCCCAGCTCTAACAGGACACTGTATTCTTCTTGCTTCTTGGTGTTGTATTCAAAGAACCATTGTGACCCTGATCATACATTACTAAGCTCTCCATTTTCTTTTTTTTTTTTTTTCTGGGCTGGAGTCTCACTTTGTCACCCAGACTGGAGCGGCCACCGCAACCTCGACTTGCTGGGCTCCGGCGATCCTTCCGCCTCAGCCTTCCGAGTAGCTGGAACTACAGGCGGGCGCCACCACGCCCGGCTAATTTTTTGATTTACTGTAGAGATGAGGTCTTGCCAAGTTGCCCAGGCATGTCTCGAACCCGTGGGCTCAGGCAATCCACTCACCTCAGCCTCCCAAAGTGCTGGGATTACATGCTGTATGTGCAAAGGCAAAAACCAGGCACCCTGGAAGGAAACAGAAAACATGTTCAGCTCTGCCCTTGACACACAGTGGCACACGATAAAAACCTGGGACTGAGACACCATTACTGCAGCTTTCCAGTTTCTTCCAAGTGATAGTGACAGTGGAGATTGAAGCGTCATGGCCAAAATAGTGACATCAGGTGCGGGGAGCCCTACGGTAAGGAAGAACAGTGACTGCCTGCCTTCTCTGTTATTTAGTCATTGACTGAGATATCTTGGGAGCTAGATGCTGTCCATCAGAGAGAGACTTGTCCTTGTTTCTGTTAGCAGGTCTTCCCTGCAGTGACTTCCCTTGGGCTGAATGAACAGGAGCTGCTATTTCTCACCCAGTCGGCGTCTGGACCCCACTCTTCTCTCTCCTCGTGGAATGGAGTTCCTGATGTGGGCATGGTCAGTGACATCCTCTTCTGGATCTTGAAAGAACATGGGAAGAGTCAAAGCAGAGCCTCAGACCTCACCAGGATACACTTCCACACACTGGTCTACCATATCCTGGCAACTGTGGATGGACATTGGGCCAACCAGCTGGCAGCCGTGGCTGCAGGCGCACGCGTGGCGGGAACACAGGCCTGTGCGACAGAAACCATAGACACTAGCCGAGTGTCTCTGAGGGCACCTCAAGAGTTCATGACATCCCACTCAGAGGCAGGCTCAAGGATCATATTTAACCCCAACAAACCAGTGGTAGAATGGCATAGGGAGGGAATATCCTTCCATTTCACGCCAGTGTTGGTGTGTAAAGACCCAATTCGAACTGTGGGCCTCGGAGATGCCATTTCGGCCGAAGGACTCTTCTATTCAGAAGTACACCTTCACTATTAGGAAGGTTGTTGTGGGCCATTTTTCAGAGGAAGGAGAACTAGCCAACTTGAGAATTACAGGAAGAAGATGGTTTGGAAAATACAGCTGAGGGTGTCAGAACCGCTAGTAGAGCTAGTTGGAAGACAGCCAAAGAAACAAAAGCAGATTAAACTGTGTCAGATACATTCCAGCCTGTTGGCAATTACATAAAAACATTTCAGGTTTTAATCAACAATTTAGCTGAGACTGGATTTTTGTTTCTTATGTTTTGTGTCACAGGGCTAAAACCTTAATTCCCAGATCCCAGTTGATGCAGCAGCATCTAGCATTTTAAGCCAAACCTCTTCACCCTTGAGAGCACGTCAGCTGGAGAAAGCACTTGCCTCTTGCCCACTCGAGACGCACACGCCTGCTCCCCGCAGTCCTGGCCTCAGTGAAGCCTGAGGTCCTGTGTCCCTCTGCTCCCTGCTCATGGGCAGAATCATGACTTCCATTCAGTGTTACAATGACAATATTTAATGACATACCTTCTCAGTCCCCTCTCAGGCTTAGAGCCACACGCAAGGACAAGGCCACCCTTCTTGTGTTTTGCAATCACCCCAGGAAACGGGAGCCTTGGAGGGAGTCGTTCCTTCTGCAGTTTGGAAGCCTGGGTGGCGCTATGAGCTGAGGATGAGCCTTCCTGTCCTGGCTTCTTAGACTGCCTGGGCTCAGCGTCACTGCCCAGCTCTGGATGTGCTTTCTGCGGTAGAAGATGTTTTTGTTCGTTCTGAGTCTTCGAGGACATCTGCTCTTACAACTGGAATATGCTTGTGTGTATCAGATCGTGTATGTTTTATGTTTTCATTCATTAAAGAATTTGACCTCCTGAGAGCCCCAGGATCATGAATACGTTTGTCATGTTATATATTTATTTTTTTATAAATAAAGATTTGTTTGCTTTTAAATATATTAAAAACAATTTACATTTCAGGATCCTAAGCCTGTGTGTAATTGATTTTGTCTCCACCGTCACTCTGGAGCCAGATAAAATATAAATCATTCTGATCTTCCCTCGTGATTTACATGTTACTCTGCCCTTGAGGTGTTTGACTGTTTTGTCTTTCCCGGTCACTGGGCTAGGTAGTCCCTCACCCTAAGCCTGAGCTGCAGGCCTGCCCTCTGGGGTTTAACGTGTCAGAAGGACCAATGTGAAGTAGCCCAGTTAAAGCTGAATTGAAACACAGCAGTTTGAAAGCATGGTGAGATTTTCAGCTTGTGCCAAGGGCAGCGTGGACATGGCAGTCACTGGCAGGCTTATCTAGCTCAAGGGTCATCATCTTCCTCCCCCCCGGGCCCATAGCAGCTCCCAGACTTGGAAGTACGCAAGCTCTCATTTATGACCTTCCTCTTCCCTGCTTTGAGTGAGAAGGCTTGATCGCTCCTGCAAAGAAAATTTAAGCCTAGAGAATTATGCAGCTTGTAATGCAAAGCAAGTTGCTTATTAAGGAACTCTGGCTGCTACCTCATTCTTCTCTATCTCCCGGATCAATTTAAAATAATTAACCACAAACCTTATAGCCTATTTTTATTAGAGGTTTCCATGAGAAGAGATTGGTTTCCTAAGAAGAATTAGAATAATTGTGATCTAAACCTAGGAAGACTATTAGGAGTCCTGAAATGTTCTCCACATGACTTTGTTTTGTTTTTTTTGTTTTTGACTTAGCATCTTACTCTGTTGCCCAGGCTGGAGTGCACTGGCACGCTCACGGCCACCACTGCCTTGACCTGCTGGGCTCGGTCAGGTGATCCTTCCAGATCAGCCTTCCAAGTAGCTGGAACTACAGGCGCACACCAGCTAATTTGGTGATTTACTGTAGAGATGAAGTCTCACCAAGTTGCTCAGTCTGGTCTCGAACTGGACTCAGGCAGTCTTCTCACCTCCACCTCCCAAAGTGCTAGGATTACAGGCATGAGCCACCATGTCCGGCAATCTTTTACTTTGTCTCTAAGTTTCTACTCGGTCCCTGGCCCTGAGTGTATATTCTCAACAGGTTCTCCATGGGGGGGGGGTGGTGTGTGTGTGTGTGTGTGTGTGTGTGTGTGGTGTCAATAAAAACTAGTTCAGGAAGTAGAGTCAGCAAATATCCTAGAGCTATGATTTTTTTTTTTTTTAGTTGGAGTCTCACTCCGTCGCCCAGGCTGAAGTGCCATGGCACACTCACAGCCACCCCAGTGTCGGCCTGCTGGGCTCTAGCGATCCTTCCGCCCCAGCCTTCCAAATAGCCAGAACTACAGGCATACGCTACCACACCCGGCTAATTTTTTATTTATTGTAGAGATGAGGTCTCGCCAAGTTGCCCAGGCTGGTCTTGAATCTGCAGATTCAGGAAATCCACTCGTCTCAGCCTCCCAAAGTGCTGGGATTACAGGCTGAGCCACTGAGCCCGGCCTTTTTTTTTTTTCCCCATAGAATAGGCATATACATGTATTTAATGTGTATACACAGGAATCTTCCATATAGTGGCCCAACTTCCCAATGAGTTACAGAAACTTAAGTACTATATCTCAGGGTTATGGAAAGAATGCAGCTTGGATTCTGGTTAAATAGGTTGTGGAGGGGGAAGAAGAGGATCTCTACTGAGAGGCAACTAGTGATTGGGGGAATGACTGGCAAACAGTTCTCTGAAAGTTGAATGAACCCGAGAGCCGGGCATCATGTTATGAAATGGTTGGCCAGGCCGACGGCATTCCTTTTCTCCTTTCCTGTAACAGATAAAGAGATGACAAGGAAGGGAAGGAAAAGTCACTGTTCTTGGTGGGTCCATGCATGCAGCCTTTATGAGGACAAGGGAAAAGTCTCTTCTAAGTCCTGGTGATTCTTCAGGATTGAGTACTTCTTTATTTTTAAGCCTACAGTTGGATCCAAACTGGGTTTCATCTCAACATCAGTAGAAAACAGCATATTTAAAACCAGAAAAATGAAAACACAGAGAGAGACACAGGCGACTCTGTATTTAAACTCTATAGTAGGTGGTCAAACTTTGAGTTCTGAATTTCCCTTGATGTAATATGCCCTTCAGTTTAAAAATGCACACAAGAAAAGACTATAATATGTAACCAGTTGGAGTACTAGAACACCTGGTATGCCCTTGAACTTTCCCATTTACACAAATGTGCCGAGCACAGTGGTTCATGCCTGTAATCCCAGCATTTTGAGAAGCTGAGGTGAGAGGGTTGCTTGGGACCAGGAGTTTGAGACTAGCCTGAGGAACAAAATGAGGCTGAGAGGAGAATCTCTTGAGCCTTGGAGTTCGAGACTGCAGTGAGCCATGACAGGGTCACCACACTCTACCACCAGGTTGCTCAAAGGGGGTTATGCTTCTTGTCTTTCCTCAGTCTCAGAGGATTTGTTTGCCACTTCTTTTTTCTTTAAGAGAGGAACCACTGTAGCCAAGGGTTTGGTGCAGTAGAGCTGAGAAGTTTGGTTTCTTGAGCAAATGCACAGATGAGCCAATTGAGATTAATTTGGGAAGAAAAGGCAATGGAAGACCCTTTAGAATGTACCTCTACTCAGCCTGTAACCCGCGCCTTTGGGAGACTGAAGTGAGTGGATTGCCTGAGCCCGTGGGTTCGAGAACCGCCTGGGCAGCGAGACCTCATCTCTACAATAAATCAAAAAAATCAGCCGAGCATGGTAGTGCATGCCTGTAATTCCAGCTACTCGGAAGGCTGAGGCGGAAGGATCGCCGGAGCCCAGCAGGTCGAGGCTGCGGTGGCCGGGAGCGGCCACTGCCCTCCAGTCTGGGCGACAGAGTGAGACTCCAACTCAAAAGAAAAAAAAAAAATGTACCTATGAATCAAAATTGGGATCCCAAACATATTCCTAGTTAAGGACCAGCTCAGAATAAACAAAAGGACTGTCAACGAAGCATGAAATCAGGGGCTCAAGAGAAATGACAGTTCCACCCAAGGAGAAGCTCAAAGGGCCCAGGTTGGTACCTTAGTTCCTAGTTCAGGCAACTCCTTGGGGAGGATCCTGAGTCCTCTCTGAGGTGCGTTGGGCACTAACTAATGTTGACGAAAATGCCAAACACATAAAGAGGTTTATTCTAAGCCAAATATGAGTGACCTAGGCCAATGGCACAGTCCCAAGAAATCATGAGAACTTGTGCCTCAAGCAATGTTTTTAAAATAATAGGTCTTAAGCTATTAATAGACACTGACTCAATTTGGTGCTTAGCACACAAAATATCAAAACACATCACATAAGGTGAAGTATTATAAGTGCTCTTTTGTATAACATGAGTGAATGTATGTCTCAATGAGTATGTATAGATTTGAATGTACATTTATCCTTTTGCAGAATGTCCACTGTGGTGTTATGATACATACATTGGTTTTTGTCCACAGTTCCTAGCTCTTAACTCCCATAGCCCTTGTTACAGTCTTCTGTTATAATGTTGGGGTGCTTTAGGCCTTGGAAGCAGGTATCAGGAAATATAATCTCTCTGACCATCGCCTACCTTCCTTTCACCTTCCCCAAGGCAGGACTCTAATCTTCTCTCATCTTCTGACTGTGGCTTGTTTTTTGTGTTTTTTGTTTTTGAGTTGGGGGTCTCACTGTCACCTAGGCTGGAATGCAGTGGCATGATCATGGTTCACCACATGGTCATGGTTCACCACAGCCTCGAGCTCCTGGGCTCAGGTGATCCTTCGACCTCAGCCTTCCGAGTAGTTGGGACTATGGGTGCACACCACCACAGCCAGCTGATTTAAAAAAATTTTTCTGTAGAGACCAGGTCTTGCTCTGTTGCTCAGGCTGGTGTCTAACTCCTGGACTCAAGCAATCCTGCTTTGACCTCCCAAAGTCAGCCAGCTTCTTCCTTTATAAAATGAAGATAACAGTACCTTTCCACTGGAAAGGTCCAAAGAGGTTAACTATTCCTTCCTGAACCTTTTCTTCTTGGCCTTCCATAATACCACTCTCCTGGTTCTTTGATTGTATCACTTGCTTGTCTTTTGTGTGGGCTCTTCTGCGTCTCTCTTTAAATATTTTCCTTCTTTGGTTCCTGTCTTATTCCTAGCTATCCTTGGGGAGCTCCTTTTAAATCTATGGCTTCAGCTATCACTTGCATCCAAATGACTCCTAAATCTTTATCTTCAAACCAGATTTCATTTCTGAGATCCAGCTATTCAGATGCCTAACGGATATCACCATTTGGATGTGTCTCAAAGATAAGCATGTCTAAAACCAGACTCCACAACCAACCATCAACCCTAGCCCAATATCCTTTTTATTCTCCCTGGTCATCCAAGCCCAGAAGTGGGTATCCATCCCACAGGCTATTCTCATCCAATCAATCCCTAATTTCTGTTGAGTTTGGCTCTTAAATCTCTTATATCCTACTCCTCTCCATCTCTGTCTTGGCTTTTACCCTCATTATTTCCCACTGAGACATTTTCAGTAATCTTTTCAGTTTCAGTAACCAGACTGGCCTAGTACACTAGACTCCATGCTGACGTAAAAGGGAGTTTTCTCAATCCTTCGGGTGTAAATCTCATTTCTGCCACATATCAGCTACAAGGGCAAGGGTATCACTTCTGATCCTTGCTCTTTATTTATTTTATTTTGGTTTTTTTTGAGTTGGAGTCTCACTCTGTCGCCCAGACTGGAGTGCAGTGGCCGCTCCCGGTCACTGCAGCCTTGACCTGCTGGGCTCCGGCAATCCTTCCGCCTCAGTCTTCCAAGTAGCTGGAACTATAGGCACGCGCTACCACGCCTGGCTAATTTTTTGATTTATTGTAGAAATGAGATTTCGCCAAGTTGTCCAGGTGGATCTTGAACCCGCGGGCTCAGGCAATCCACTCACCTCAGCCTACCAAAGCATGGGATTACAGGTTGAGCCACTAAGCCTGGCTCCTTGCTCTTTATTTCAGAGATTTGAGAATTGAAGAGGTTTCTGCTCAGTTAGCTGCTTCTTCAATGTCAGAACAGACTAGTCACAAAATCAAGAACTCCAGACACAGTTTGGTTTAAGAGCAGATCAGTGGCTGGGCTCGTGGCTCAGCCTGTAATCTCAGCACTTTGGGAGGCTGAGACGAGTGGACTGCCTGAGTCTGCGGGTTCGAGACCAGCCCTGGCAACTTGGCGAGACCTCGTCTCTACAATAAGTCAAAAAACTGACCCAGGCATGGTGTAGTGTGCCTGTAGTTCCAGCTACTTGGAAAAGCTGAGGCAGAAGGACCACTGAGGCCCATGGGGCAGGTTGACGCTGGCCGTGAGTGTGCCACTGCACCCCTGCCTGGGTGATGTAGTGAGATTTCAACTCCAACTTTAAAAAAAAAAGAGTAGATCAGTTTCCTACCTTCAAATTAGATAATTCTGGCTAGGCACGGCGGCTCATGCCTGTAATCTCAGCACTCTGGGCGGCTAAGGCAGAAAGACTGCTTGAGCCCAGGAGTTTGAGACCAGTTTGGGAAACACAGTGAGACCTCAGGCATGGTGGCATGTGCCTGGAATCCCAGCCACCTGGGAGGCTGAGGCAGAAGGATCACCTGAGCCTAGGAAGTGGAGGCAGTGGTAAGCTGTGATCATGCCACTGTACTCCAGCTTGGGTGACAGAGTGAGACCACATCTCAAAAAAATAAATAAATAAAAACAAAAAAATTATAGTGATTATGTGTAAAATGGGGACTGACCCTCAGTAAGCAAACTGCCAGCCTGCCACCTGTCAGGGCAGCAGCAGTGGCCATGTGGCGCCAAGGGGGAACCTGATCCTGAGGCTCCTCTGGTTTCAAACTAGACCTATAAACAGGCAAGACAGGACTCGATCCTGGGCTCTTTAAGAGGCTTTTATTGTGATCTCTTATTTTTATCCCTAAATAACAACGTTCCTCAAAGGAATAATGATGCAAAGTATGTATTCTAAAAAGGACATATAATGTATTGATAGCATCCAATCAGTGGTCATCATTGATTACCTTGTAATAAGAAGCTCTGTTTTTTTTTTGAGTTGGAGTCTCACTCCGTCGCCCAGACTGGAGTGCAGTGGCCGCTCCCGGCCACCGCACCCTCGACCTGCTGGGTTCCGGCGATCCTTCCGCCTCAGCCTTCCAAGTAGCTGGAACTACAGGCGTGCGCTACCACACCCGGCTAATTTTTTGATTTATTATAGAGATAAGGTCTCGCCAAGTTGCCCAGGCGGGTCTCGAACCTGTGGGCTCAGACAATCCACTCACCTCGGCCTCCCAAGGCGCGGGATTACAGACTGAGCCACCAAGCCCGGCCTCTTTTTTTTTTTTTTAATTCTTGGTGCTGATACCAGACCAGCCCTTGGCTCCTACTTCTTATACTGACATGATCTGGCTTCTAGACTCTGACCCCTCTCAAGGACAAAACATAGGGATTCCCTCTGGGCAAATGCAGCTGAGATACTCACCAGCCTGGGTTTCAACTTAGCTATTTTTCCTTATTTTTTTCTTTTAAATTTAGACTATTAAAGGTAAATTATTAAGGAGATCTGTTTGCCTTGGAGACTAACATACCCCAGAGTCGAAGGATCGCCCAGTTAAGCCGAGGCTTCATCACCACAGGGCGCTGAGCAGAAAGGTCTGTCTCAGCCTTTCCTTGCTCAGAGAAAGAGTTGGTCAGCCAGGAGGTGAAGTCCTTGTAAAAGCAAACGGCACAGCATGCCTTCCTGACTTGGAGCTATATACATGGAGCCTCAAGCCTTGCTCCTGTTTCTTAAGGGAACTGTGTTGTCCTCTCCCTACCTCCTGGCTTGTGGGGCCCACAGAGGACACCCTACCCAAGTGCTGGCAGGCAGAGTCGAAGGCTCCTCACAGGCGCCTCATGAACCTCAGCACACACCCTGAATTTGATGTTTTCAGTTCTGTGTTGCTGGCCTCCATTCTGTCTGTGCCATGTGACTTTTCTTAATCCAGGACATCTTTGCCCAAGGAACTCCTACTCTGGGATCATCCTGCTCTTATTTTTCTCTTGTCTGTGCTGAGGTTTCAGTTGGGCTTGCTTCCACAGCAGGCTCTGGCTCCAGAGGGAGAGATGGCGGCTTTGTAAGCTGAGATGTTCCTCCAGCACCTGGTAGCAAAATAAACAGCTTGAATCTTCAGTTCCACAATGCTAGAAGAAATCATTATTTTTGCTGTTCAATTTCAAGAGGAAACCCCACATTTTCTGGGACTAGTGGAAATGTCACACTGGTCAGCTACGAGGGAAGACCATAACTGAAGAAATAAAGCAACAGTTAAGTTTGCCTTCAATGAGTCACTGAAAGAAATCTTTTAATTACTTACACCATGCCAACTTATGATAAAGCAATGAAAATTAAATGGAGACTGCATAGTAGAATGTACTTAAAACATATTTCTAAACTTGCAAATTGTAGAGACCAGTGTGCTGCCATTCATCTAAGCCTGCTACTAGCAGTTACCTATGACATACCTTATCTGAAGGAAATAAGTACCAATGTGGCCACTCTACAGTTTTTCTTCCCCCTTATGGCCAATACTATGTTGGACGTGTTATGAGTCTAAAGAGCACAAGACTCACTCAAAACTGTAATCTCTTTGCTAACACATGTGGCTTATACCTGCTAGGGTTTTCTTCCCAGAGTTCTGAATAGTCTTACCTAAGGGGAGCTTCCTGTATGCAGCTGCTGAAGACATTGCCTGTCCTAGAGCTTGATTAGAGCCCAGAGGCTGCTGGAAACTGGCAGGCTTGCTGGTTGAAGTAGTCCGGTGCTTTGATTTGGGATCTTTAACTGGTTTAGTCCAGATCAGTGCCTCCCCAACCTGGAGAGCCGCTCCCAACTTCTGAGCCATCTCCACCATCTTGTGCCCACAAAGGAAGAAAAAAAGTCCAATGCTTGACTGTCAGTGACAAGCCAGCCCACCTCTTCTTTGGTCTTCTGCCAGGGAGGTTTTGCTGAAATAGTGTCTGCTGGTAGTAGCATTTGAGGTAGGAATGCTTGTCACGAGGAAAGCATTCTCCAACAGCAGAAAATGTAGACTGCCTCTAGTGGATGGCAAGGGGGCTCACACAGGATCTCAAAACCCAACAATTCAATTTTGGTACATTTTTGGGCTAAACTCTGCCTTTCCTAGATGAAGGGAAGTGGGAGGAAGCTACAAAGAGATACAGACCTCAACTTCGATGAGTTGTATTAGCAATAGACAACTCAGTAAGCCTGAATTTCCTTTTTATTATTCTAGGAAAGTCTTTCTCAGGCTGTTATTAATTGATGAACTCATGCTGCCAGACACATCAAAGCCCATAGAGCCATGAGCCTATAATGCCTTGCATTTGTATTATTTGAGCTTAATCCAAAAGACTCCTAACAGCTTGCTTGTGACTCCTGGGAGTTAATAAAAGACATACCTCAGGGTCAAATTCCAGAGAGCTGTTGTCCTTGAGTAGGATGACTTTCTTCTCCATCTCCTGATACTGGGCCAGGGCACCCCTCTTCTCACCCTGGTTGTACAGCAGCACAGCGTAGTTCAAGTTGACTAAAGGGTTACACCTGTGGCAGACAGACAGGGACTTTTTGGAGCTGGGGCTCTGTAACAAATGGTCATTTAGAGAGCCTTCTCACTGCACAAAACAAAACAAAACTGGGTAAGTAGAGGTTTCTCCATTATGCAGCAGGGGAGGAGCACACGTGCTGAACCTGTGGAGGAGAATCAAGGAACTAACTGCCCAACCAGCCAAGCAGGTAAAAGCAGGTCTGACATCTCAAGGGTCAACAGAGATCACCATGGCCAGGGATGAAAAAGCGATCTCTGTCTTGCTGTCTAGCAGATGCCAGAGGAATAAATCCTGGAAGCGTCAAACTTATCTTCAATTAAGCCGAGTCCACAGTCTCATCTGATATTCCAGCTAGCCCATGGCTATCGGCAATCCAAGCCCACGCCCAGCTCTGGCTTTCTCTGGCTTCCTGACTATTAAACTTGAGACTGAAAACATTTTCTCAGAAAGTGTCAATTCTTGCTGAGCCACCATGTGCACAGGAACCACATCCTTCATGCTCGTGCCTGCTGTGTACATAGGCCAGGAGACCAGCCCTCCTCAGTACCATTCCCGACAAAGCAGCTTACTTGTCCAGGCGGACTGCTTCTGCGTAGGCTCTCTTGGCATTCTCTACATCCTCCAGATTGGTCAAAGCCACTGCAATAAAGAAAGTGAGCACTGCAGCTAGAGAGCTCAGCTAAGAAGACAAGAGGAATACTTCAGGATTGCCCCCATACCGAACTCCTTCTTCATCCTCTCGGCTCACAGCACCATAGTTGACCCAGTCATTCAGCTTATATACCTGGTGCAATATTCAATATCCTTCTCCATAGTCAGTTGCCAAGTTCTGTGCACCCTATTTTTGCAGTTTCTTTTCTGACACTGCCCTTGTTCAGGCCCAAGGAGTTTCCACCTTTCCATTTTTTTCCCCAGTGGCAATGTCCCCATCTGCCTTCATTCCACTTCTACGATGCCACCAGGTATCCCACTGACTCACAAATCAATCTGACCATGTCACCATCCTATTTACAAATCCTCACTGGCTCCCCATCACCTACAACCATAATCTTTAAACTTTTATTTAGCAACATAACACCCCCTACCCTTTTAAATCAGTATTTCCTTGATGCCTAATATATAAAACAAACAAAAACAGCTTTTTAGAAGCCCTGCCCCCTCCAGCTCCACCAGCTATTCAACTAAGAGCAGATCTAGGGACACAGTTAGACAAACCCGGCCTCTAAGATGAAGTCTAAAGTCCTTGCACTGTAATCATGGCCCTCCATAATGTGACCCCAACTGTCCTTCCTGACTCATCTCTCACCATGTTCTCTAACACTCTTGCCCACTAACTACAAGAGACACTGCAGTTTCATGGTCTTGTATCTTTGTGCACAGTGGTTTCTCAGCCATCCTGAACTGTACCACGCTAGCTTGTCCTTTGGGATCCAGCGTGAATGCTGCCTCTACCCTGTCAAGTTAGAATCACTGCTTATGTCTTGCATCATGGCTGTTTACATTCCACTTCCCATTAAGATGGTCTCTGTATTCAGGCAAGCTCAAACAATCACCAATACATTGCTTTTGCAAGTTTTCTCATATAAATAAGGACCCCATAGTAAGGGCCAAAAAAACCCCACCAAAGACTACTGTTAATGAGGACATGCAAACTGCTTTTGGGCTTACATTTAGTAAGTTTAGTATACGGAAATAATATTCCCTGGAAATAATATTTAGTTAGTACTTTTAAATTAAATGGTTTTATATATAATGTTTAAAGTGTTTGATTATAACTTATTTTTGTGATCAATTTTAGTATTTACACGGCATAAAATGGAGCTTCAGGAATGACACCTCATTCTATATAAAATTATACTCAGAGGAGAAAAGGGTTTCAATATAAAGTAGCTTGATGTGGAACTACCACCTAGGGACCAATTAGAGTAAAAACAACAATATTGATAATAAGAGACCGATTATGTAACCAAAACAAAACTGATAGTTTTCAAAAACCAGTATTTCAACAAAAACAACACTATTCACTGAGTGTTTAATCATGTAATCCACATCAACTCTAGGTATACACAGTAAGTAGAGTGGCAGGATCCCTCCCAATGCCCAAACTCTGAACACTCACTGTCTGAACTCAATGTATATATAAATGAATTGTCAAGCCAAGAGGAAAAAATTGGGAAAAGGTGAACGAGGGATGAACTTGATTTAACCTGTTGGCTTCGGAGTGAAATTCTCCCAGGTTAGAAGCAACCAGTTACTTTGTCATATTTTTGTTTTATGTTCTTCAAGCTCGAGGATAGTAACCCAGATTCCTGCATTCCTATAGGATCTCCAAGGGAACAGCTCCTATGGGACACTTAGCCCCTGACCTCCTATAATTCCCATCCATTTTTCCCTCATGACAAACCGTGGGGAGGGGTTCCACATAAATGTCTCTTACCAGCCAAGAGCATGTAGAGCTCCCCCATCTTTGGCTGGAAGTTGATGGCTGCACTGAGAAAATGAAAAGCGGATGCATACTGCTGCATGGTCAAGTGCACAAGGCCCAAGTTATACAGAATCTTCCAGTCGAAGGGTGCTAAGTAGTTGGCTCGTTTCAGGCAGCTGATGGCCTGTGGGAGAGAGGGGGCACTCAATGAAGGGGTAGAGCAAGCTAGGTAGACCCAATAAGCACATGTATGAACACAAACAAGGAACATGAGGGGACACTCACTGCCACGTATTTCTTCTTGCCAAAGAAACACATTCCAATATTATTCCAGAGCGGAGGACTTTCTGGAGCAGCACAAGCTACAATTCGGTATTTGGTGAGAGCAACATCAAAATCCCCATGGGTCTGCATCATGCTGCCTGCTGCCAAGATAGCCTGAAAACGTGGCAAATTAGAAAGCAATTCCGTCATTCCGAAAGGTTGGAGCAGTAAGGTAGCCAAGGTAGCCTTCCTGAGTGCAGACACTCAGCAGGCCCGTCAGCATAGATGGGACTGAGAATTTCTCCCAAGGACAAAAATAACACATCCAAACCACCGGGACAAATGCTCTTGAACAGAACCCTCACACCACACATCCTTGGCAAAGCACACACAAAAAAGATATAATGTCACTGGTTTCATTCATTATATCCATTCCCTAATTCTAGCCAGGAAAGTCAGTATTTCAGAGTGAATACCAGGGTCCTTTAAGTAAGAGCCCCTTTAGTCTGTTCTCTGCAGCCCCTACTAGGTGCACTGAGCGCTCTAGATACCTCAGATATACCTGTCCCAAAGGTACAGAGAGCTCTTTTTGCCACAGAACAGAAGGTGAGACAGCTTTAGGCCTCATCGACCTCTCTAATGAAAGGAAAAGTGACAAGACGTGGAACCAACAGTCAGACTACTATGGCTTCCTGAATCAAGTTTGTGAGTTTGTGTCCTTCAATAAACAGCCTGTCTTACTGCATCTCCCTCAATTATATTCATCCATTTGATGCTATTTCTTCTTATCCCAGAGCCACATCTAAACAAAAGTTGTAATCTCAAATTTATTAGGAATCTCTAGAAATCATTTTACCAGAATTATTATTATTATTCTTTTAGAGACAAGTTCTCATTCTGTTGCCCAGGCTGGAGTACAGTGGCACAATCATGGCTCACCGTAGCCTCCAACTCCTGGGCTCAAGTGATCCTCCCTCCTCAGCCTTTCAAATAGCTAGGACTACAAGCATATGCCACCATACTCAGCTAATTTTTAAATTTTTTTTGTAAAGACAAGGTCTTGCTATGTTGCCCAGGCTGGTCTTGAACTCCTGTACTTGAGCAATCCTCCTGCCTCAACTTCCCAAAGTGCTGGAATTACAAGTGTGAACCACTGCACCCAGTAAAATTATTTTTGATAATAGCTGTGGAGGTTGCTAATTTCTTAAGTAACACATAAGCAATAATAAGAATGACTTATTTGACCCGCCTGGGCAACTTGGCGAGACCTCATCTCTACAATAAATCAAAAATTAGCCAGGTGTGGTAGTGCATGCCTATAGTTCCGCTACTTGGAAGGCTGAGGTGGAAGGATCGCCGGAGCCCAGCAGGTCCCACTGCACTCCAATCTGGGTGACAGAGTGAGACTCCAACTCAAAAAAAAAAAAAAAAAGAATTGCTTATTTATAATTTTTCTAAGAAAAGGGTAATTTCTCAGGTATTCACAATGAAGAAGCTATTCCCTTGCTTTCCAGGATCAGATCACCTCCAGGAGCAATGGGGCCATCTATGTGAAGGTTCTGGGGTTTCACAGCCCACAATACCTTGTAGTTGGTAGGGTCATAAGTCAGTGCATTTCCAAGATGTTCAAATGCCTTCTGGTAAATGCCGAGCTTGGGAAAAAAGCAAACCAGAGAATTTACATCGGAGGGTAGATGATAGTTAAAAAGTCTGGCCAACCACACTCAGAACAGAAATGCCTGCCTTTTATGAGTTTTTGCAACAACAAAATGTACAGAATTACAGTTACCAGACAGAGAAAGAAAACTAAAAATCCCCACATTTATGGTTTTCCTCCTATTTTGTTGGTCTGTCTTCTGATAAGGTCAAAGTATCTATCTGCCAGGAACCATCTCTGCCCCACTAGTGCTGTTCCATATGAGGAAAGAGGCTGGTTAGCCTCATCTCCCTTGGGGCCAACCGCCCAAGCCAAAGCCCAGGAAGACCCTGGGTTAAGCTCCTGATTCCTTTTAAAGAAAAATAAAATAGGCTGAGTGCAGTGGCTCACACCTATAATCCCAGCACTTTAGAAGGTTGAGGTGAGAGGATTGCCCGTGCCCATGGGTTCAAGACCAGCCTGGGCAACTTGGCGAGCCCTCATCTCTACTATAAATAAAAAAATGTGGTGGCGCATGCCTGTAGTTCCAGCTATTTGGAAAGCTTAGGCAGAAGGATCGCCTGAACCCAGCAGGTCAAGGCTGTGGTGGCCATGAGCATACCACTTCACTCCAGCCTGGGCGACAGAGTGAGACTCCAACTCAAAAAAAAAAGAAAGAAAGAAAAGAAAAATAAAATAGACATAAAAGTCACCATAGAGGAAGAGCTGGAGGCAGAATCAGTTGAACAAGGAAATTGGGATGGGGGGAGAAGGCCCCTCAGGGATCTCTGGCCCTGGGTCCTCGGACTGATACAGAGAAGCAAGAGAACTAAAAGAATCCCATTTATACTCAGGAATGTGGAGTGGAGAAGAGACTTCTTATTCTACATAAGGTATGCTCTGCCCTCTCTCTTTCCCATAAGACCCCGCCTGGAATGAAAGAGCAAAAGAAATGGCTTTGCCCCAAGGCCCTAGGAAGTGTTACTGTGTAGCCCAATTTCTTCCCCCCAACAACAAAATAATAGCCCCCATGACCAGTTAATTCTCATATACGCTCTTCTCTCCATTAGAGAAGAATTACAATTGCACTAGGCTATAAGAGAATTACTTCCTATTAAGAAATTAAGTTAATTTCTTTAGCAGAGTGTCAGATAGAGAGGGGAAGGTGCATGTGCTTCCTATGACCTTTAGAAAAATGTGTTAAATATCAAAACGCAGGAAAATCACTATACACACAAACCCACAAGTACATCTAACAACAATGCATGACTGAGAAGAGTTTTCATTACCTGTAAGTAGAGTAATCCTAACGTTGTAAGAAGTTCTGTATTTTCTGGTGAGAACCTGCAACACAGAGATGCTCAGAAGGAAATACTACGTGGATGAGAGACACAGAGATACATGTATAGGAATCTGCCCTTGTGCAACACTTAAGAGACTCCATTGAGCCTCCAACTCCCCATGGAAATCCCTGGAGGCAATCTGGGAATTTCCTTCACAAGTAGGTCATTTCAACCCTGGCTATAGGAGGGATTGGGACTTAGAATCCAGACTCCTTTCTTAGGGCCAAAGTCCTAAGAAAGAACCTATAGAATGTTTTGTGTGACTATCTTGACCACACTGATAAAATTAGAGAATTATACTTTCCAAGTCAGTCTAGAACACACATAGTTTAGCCAGTTCCCTCTTGTGGGATTTTTTTTTCTTTCTATTTTTACTGTGCTCACAATGCCAGGCAGCATAATTTTTTATGTAATTTAGGATCTCAAGGCTCCTAATGCTGTGCTGTGCAAATTAAACAAAAATCCATACTAAATAGCCAAACTAAAGAAGGAGGACACATACCAATCCTGGGAAAGAATTAGCCATTGGCCTTTGGGAGTAAACACTGGCTTAAGTAAAATATTATCTGCAGGCTGGGCACGGTGACTCAAGCCTGTAATCCCAGCACTTTGGAAGGCCAAAGTGAGGATTGCCTGAGTCCAGGGGTTTGAGACTAGCCTGGGCAACTTGGTGAGATCTCATTTCTACAATAAATTTTTTTAAAAATTAGCCAGGCATGGTGGCACATGCCTGTAGTTCCAGCTACCTGGAAGGCAGAGCTTCGACCTGAGCCCAGCTGGTCGAGGCTGCAGCAGGTCGAGGCTGCGGTGGTTGTGAGTGTACCACTGCACTCCAGCCTGGGCAACAGAGTGAGACTCCAACACACAAAAATAAACTAAAATAAAATATTATCTGCCCACTCAATCCCTCACTAATATTTGTCTCTGTCACAAAACCAAAACAACACTGAGTTGAGATGATGTGACTACAGCAGGGGTCCCCAACTCCCAGGCCAGGGACCGCTGTAAGAACTGGGTCACACAGCAGGAGGTAGGGGGGAGCAAAGCTTCATTTGTATTTACAACCGCTCCCCATCGCTCGCATTACTGTCTGAGCTCTGCCTCCTGTCAGATCAGCGGCAGTACATTATCATATATTACAATGTACTAATAACATACATAAATGTAATGCACTTGAATCATCCCGAAGCCACACACCCCCACCAGTCCTCTGGTAATTCCTCTGGTTCTGGCAGCATCTATTCCCCCACCACATGACTACCCCCTCCCAAACTGAGGGTCATGAATAATGGTCTATCTTCTCAGTGAGGCTCCAGATTTTCAGCTGTCTTCATTTCAACCATGGGAAATTTAGTAATTTAAGTACTTGACCAGTCATTAGAAGAATGTTTCGGCTGGATTCGGTGGCTCAGCCAGTAATTCTAGCACTTTAGAGGCCGAGGCAAGTGGATTGCCCAAGCCCACGGGTTCGAGACCAGCCCGGGCAACTTGACAACACCTCGCCTCTACAATAAATAAATAAAAAATCAGCCGGGCATGGTAAAAAAAAAAGAAGAAGAAGAAGGAGAAGAACGTTCCCTCTTGAGATTTGTGTATGCTAATCTCAGAGCCAATTTTTAGAAGGCAGAGGTCAGGGATCAGGGTTACAACCCAGTATCACAAAGGCACTTAACATGTGTTACACTGCTCCTTACTACCTGCCCATATAAATAGCCTCTTTTTTTTTTTTTTTTAAGTTGGAGTCTCACTCCATTGCCCAGGCTAGAGTGCAGTGGCAAGTTCATGGCCACCGCAGCCTCCACCCGCTTGGCTCAGGCCATCCTTCTGCCTCAGCCTTCCAAGTAACCAGAACTACAGGCGCATGCTACCACATCCAGCTAGTTTTTTGATTTATTGTAGAGACAAGGTCTCACCAAATTGCCCAGGCTGGTCTCGAACCCCTGGGCTAGTCTCGAATCCCTGGGCTCAGGCAATTCTCTCACCTCGGTCTCCCAATGTTCTGGGATTACAGGCTGAGCCACCGCACCCAACCTATAAACAGCCTCTTTATGACAAAGGTCTCTTTTGCAGCTTAACAAACCAAGGGATTTTTCTGTCTTTTTAGACACAAATGTAGTTGAAGAAAATTAAAAAGCAGTGTTTTCTGACATAACCAGAAAATTTACTACCAGGGTAGAAGACAAAGGTAATTAATAAATTCATAAACATCTAAATTTAGTTCAGAGTCTAATTATTAGGAATAGTAGGCATTAACCAGAGACCAGACAGTCAATTACGTGACCAAACAGATTAGATACTTAAAGCATCCCACTTAAAAGAAACAAGACAAATCCCTATACAGAAAAGATAAGATAGCATGGGTCTCTAGAGAGGAAACATGAAACACCATCACAAGAAAGCCAATCAGTTCCATTATCTACAGGAGTTTGTATTACTCTTGTGATTTAAAAAAAAAAAAAAACAGGATACTGGTTTCATGCTACTTAGGCCAGATGTTTATTTCTGAACCAGGAGATTTCTGTCCCTAACAATATCTCTGATAACACAAAATCTGTTGTTAATGTATAAAACAAAATGGCAGGCTGTCAGGAGACCTCAAGATCTGTTCTTTCCTTTCTCCTTAGTGCATGTCTGCCTACTTACCTTGCAGCTATCACCTGATTAATTTTGAACCATGGAATGTGAGCAGGAAAAATTGTTATTAGAAATGGGTGCAATTTCTGGTCATTTAAAATGTATTACCAGATGCTTATTCCATACTTAGCTTCCCCCCCACCATCGCCTGGAACATGGGTGTTACAGTTCAGCTTCAACCATGCAGGTGAAGACAACAGTCTAAGAAATGATGAGTTAACAAGGAAGGAACTTGGATCCCCGGTTGACCCTGTGGAACAGAGCTGCCCAGCTAACCTTGAGCAGCCATCCTGATAGGTGAGAAAGAAACAATCTACTGAAGCCATTGGGAGCTCTTAAACTAAACCTCAGCTTAACTTTTACTCTAACTCAAACAACTAATAATCACAAACATATTCTTTCGCTTAGGCTTGAAAGTTCATATATACACTTGATGATTTTTAGTTTCTCATTGTTCTAAAGGAAACATACATACTTACTCCACTGCTTTCTTGTAGATTTCGATGGCCTTGTCCAAGTCTCCCTCCAGCAAGTGGATCTTCCCCAACATTACATAAGTCAGATCATGCCTATTAAGATGTAGGGCACTGTGCAACTGTTCTTGTGCCTGATAAGTATGATAGAGCAAAGAAAACCAAATCACCACCACCGAAAGAAAAACAGCTTCATATGGCTAATGTAAAGATATGGCTCTCATCGTACTGATGTAGGAACATCACATTTCAGCTAATATCTCCCCCTTACCCAAAGACCACAATATACCAAAACTGTCCTTGTGGAAGGACAGCTGGGACATCTGCTTCAGGTGTGAATTTATACAAAAGTATTAATCTTTCTGAATGTTTTCTGCTTGACATTCGCACCTACAGCATACTTCATAAGTCAAAGGGGACATCAGAGCGGGGTATGGTGACTCACACCTGTAATCCCAGCCCTTTGAGAGGCCAAGGCAGAAGGATCACTTGAGCCTAAGAGTTCAAGACCAGCCTAGGCAACATAGCAAGACCTCGTCACTACAAAAAAAATTAAAAACTTAGCCAGGCATCGTTGCATGCGCCTATAGTCCCAACTACTTGGGAGGCTGAGACGGGAGGATCACCTGAGCCCAGGTGGTTGAGGCTGTGATGAGCCGTGATCAAGCCACTGCACTCCAACCTGGATGACAGAGAGACTCAACCTCAAAAAAAAAAAAGGAGAAGGGGACATCATAGTACAGTGCAGAGTGCTGCACTAAACCCAGTCTCAGCCGGGCATAGTGGCACACGCCTGTAGTTCCAGCTACTTGGAAGGCTGAGGTGAAAGGATCGCCTGAGCCCAGCAAGTTGAGGCTGCGGTGGCCATGAGCATGCCACTGTACTCCACCCTAGCCTGGGCAACAGTGACACTCCAACTCAAAACAAACAAACAAACAAAAAAACTCAGTCCCAGCTGCACTGCTGACCAATTGCACAACCTCCCCCAGGGTGAGTCTTGTTTTTTCCCACCAATATGATAAATGAATGAACAGATTGTTCTCATTTATTCACCCAACAAGTATTCATTGAGTGCTTGCTGTTCTAGGTTCTAGGTGCTAGGTATATTGGAATTAATGAAACAAACTTCTTGCTCTGGAAGAGCTAACATCCTAGGAGATAAACAAAAGGGCTTTGTTCAGTCATTCACTGATTCAATAAGTATTTATATAAATGACAGGCACTGTATTTGCTTAGCCTTCTGGCTTTACAGTAAAATCTAAATATAACCCTTCTCCCCAGTACAGATCCAACCAAGACTAATCCCTCTTTGCCCCTTGCTTAGAATAATCCTGTAAATAGAAATGTACCTGCTCAAAATATTCTCTGAAGAGAAAAATCTCCAAACCAAGCATATATGACTGTAGACTCATCCAGCAAACCTAAGAGCCCCAGTAAACATATTTTATTGACACACATTGATTATCTATCTCACAGGAGAAAAAGCTACTCTTACATTGCTGACGTGCAGATATTTTTTCACAGCCATGAGGGATAGATTAAGTTATACCAGTTTGCAAATTGATACAAACTAAACACTGTCAAATGGGTATTAACTCATTTACATGCTCAGTCTTAGTGGCAATGGAGAAAAGAGAATAAAACCTCATAATCATTAAATGGGAGCTCTATGAAGGAAACCACCCAACCCAATCTTTACTAACTTTGAGTTCTCAATTATTATACAGACATTTTATAAATCTGAGTACCAAGGTAAGTCCATATTGTTTTCTCTGATATAAGAGCCTTAACACCTATCACAGCTTAATCACAATGAAATATGAATTCTCATCATGAAAAATAACTAAAAAAATTTAAACTGAAAATTCTCAGAAATTAGATTCACTTAATTTTTTTTTTTTTTTTGAGACAGAGTCTCACTTTGTTGCCGAGAATGGAATGTAGTGGCATTATCACAGCTCACCAGCCTTGACCTCCTGGGCTCAAGCAATCCTTCTGCCTCCATGCCACCATGCCTGGCTAATTTTTAATTTTTTTGTAGAGACAAGGTCTTTACTATATTGCTTAGACTGGTCTCCAACTCCTGAGCTCAAGCAGTCCTCCCGTCTCAGCCTCCAAAGTGCTGAGATTGTAGGCATGAACCACCAGGCTCAGACCCACTTAAAATTTAAAATTAGTTTGAGTTTTTAGCAACCTTAAAAACTCAAATCAACTGCTGCTAGAGCATGAAATAGCTCATATGGTCATGATTACACCTTTAAAACTTAAGAGTTCACTTTTTAATATTTACATTTTAGCAGGGCTCAGTAGCTCAGCCTGTAACCCCGCACTTGGGAGGCTAAGGTGAGTGGATTGCCTGAGCCTGCGGGTTCGAGACCTGCCTGGGCAACTGGGTAAGACCTCATCTCTACAATAAATCAAAAAAAAAATTAGCCGGGCGTGGTAGCGGGCGCCTGTAGTTCCAGCTACTTGGAAGTCTGAGGCAGAAGGATCGCGGGAGCCCAGCAGGTCGAGGCTGCGGTGGCCAGGAGCATGCCACTGCACTCCAGTCTGGGCGACAGAGTGATACTCCAACTAAAAAAAAAAAAAAAATTACATTTTATTAATCATTCTTTTCTATCCTAAAAACTTAAATTGGAGGCAGAGAAAAAGAAAAGAGGAGAAAAGCAATCAGATGCCATTCCCTCATATCACCTCTAAAATTTTTCATTTTCTTGTTAAAAGCAGAAAAAAGCAAATGAATAATGACAAGAGTTAAAATAGGGTTAAATGTATAAAGTCACTGTCAATTTTCACTCTAAAAACTTCTGCAATCACTAGAGGTAATACAAAATCAGCAATGGAATCTCTGTAACAAGTATCCCTCACTGAAATCCATCACTATTTTATAAATTACCTTGTTGAACTGCTTCAGATAAATGTAGCAAACTCCTAGATTATGGCAGATTTCCTACAAAAGAAAGGAAAACAGCTTGGGTGTAATTTCACAGGTAGTATTTGAGTGAAACAGACATCTAGAGATTGTTATTTCTCAGTAAAGTTTAAACCATAAAACATGCACTACAGCAGTTTTTTTTACTAGAGCTCATACTCGAATATATTTATTTCTGCAAAATTAGTTTCTTAATATAAAAAAATAGATTATAAGAAATACAAGAGGAATAAACAAGTGATCTTCCTAAATCTATGTGCTACCCTGGAGTACATACCCAGTCCATTCTCATACCTCTTTTTTCTAAGAGTTGCCCACCACACACTTTGCACCTTCTTTTCAGAAAAGTCTTGCCCACATCCCCTGCTGAAAAGGCTGCTAACCATCACAGTTCCACCCTTAAGGCAAGACTGACAGATACACCTGAGTCCACTGAAGTCTGTTCCCTAGGAATCTGGAATTGGTACGGAGCTAGTCAGTTGCAAGCACTATATTCACTAGGTGATGTGGACTTAAGGACTGAGGACGCCATCTGGAGGCCACTATGTTGGAATATACGTAACTGGAGCCCTTTGCAGAAGTCAGAAAGCTATGTATGGCCCAAAGGTCAAATTCATTCCCTGCCCTTTTTTGTAAATAAAGTTTTATTGGAACACAATCTCAAGCATTTGTTTTTGTATGGCTATTGTGCACTAGAACTGCAGAGTTAAGTAGCTGTAACAGAGACTGTATGAAACTGCAAAACTTAAAATATATACTAACTGGCCCTTTACAAAAAAAAAAAAGTCTGCCAGTCTCTGATCTACAGAAATAAAAAATGAAGCAAAAATGCAGAGTAGCTAATTTGGTTGTTGATAGCTTTCCAGTTCTAGTTCAGTAGAAGACAAATGTTTATCGCCTGATACTATTTTATAGATTCTTTCAAGTTTCTTTTTTTTTTTGAGTTGTCTCACTCTGTTGCCCAGACTGGAGTGCAGTGGCCGCTCCCGGTCACCGCAGCCTCAACATGCTGGGTTCCGGCGATCCTTCCACCTCAGCCTTCCAAGTAGCTGGAACTACAAGCGCGCGCTACCACGCCCGGCTAATTTTTGATTTATTGTAGAGATGCGGTCTCGCTAAGTTGCCCAGGCGGGTCTTGAACCCACGGGCTCAGGCAATCCACTCAGCTCAGCCTCCCAAAGGCACGGGATTACAGGCTGAGACACAGAGCCAGGCTTCAAGTTTCTTTATAATAAGTTTCTCTTTAAAGTAGTTTTAGAGAAGGAGAAAGCAAGGGTAAGGAAATGGATCTTGGGAAACAAATAAGAATCACCCTGTTAGTAGTGGGGATGTGTCCCTATACAAGGAAACATGGACCCCTCAGGCTCAGAGATAACAACCGTTTTAATGTTTTCCAACCTTCCTAAAACAACAACAAAATAGTAATTATTAATTAACTACATACTATACATCAGGCTATATGGGAGGGTGTGTGTGTGTATTTAATTTTCCCAGCAAATCTGTAACATAGTTATAATTTTTCCAATTTTACAAATAAGGAAATTGAACCTCAGAGAGGTTGAGTAGTTTACTTAAAATAGTTAGAAAGTACCAGCACTTTACTTTCCAATGACCAAAAGAAATTTTAAAAAAGAGTCAGCATTGGTTTTTTTTTTTAACTTTTCTCTTTTTAGTTCTCCTCTTCTTCCTTACTAACAGAACCCTGATTTTGTTTAGAATGAAAATGTGGCCAGATTAAGAAATATATTTTCAGGCTTCCTCACAGAAGGAGTAGTTGATATAACATCAGTAAAAGTCTGTTGGAGACTTCTGGGAAAACTGTGCTTTCCTGATATAGTCTCTGTTCTTTTATTCCTCTTCCTTCCTCCCTAGAATGCAGATGTGATTTAAGAGCTGCAGCAGTCATCTTGTAACCATGAGGAAAAACCCTCAGCTTTGCTTTCTTTGGACCACCAAATCAATGTCAGCAGCTACTTACCTGGACTTCCTGTTTCATGAAAATAAAAAATAAACGCGTACTTTGTAAAGTCAACGTTCAGTCAAATTTTCTGTTGCAGTTATACACAATCTCCAACTGATACAAATAGATAATGGAAGGAAAAAATAATCAAAAACTACTCAAAGAAAACTTCCCTGACTCAAAGAAAGACAAGGCTCTTCAGAGTGAAAGAGTCAACTGAGTGTCAAACAAGTGGGAAAAAAAGAAAAATAGGAGAGGGTGGAATAAAAAACACACATACACACACAACTAGATTGCCTATTGCTGACATTTTGGAATTCTGATAATAAAGAAAAAAATACCCAAAATTTCTAGAGAGAAAGTTGAGGTCATCAATAAGAATCAGACTGGAAAGTGGCTGTTCATCAGCAACCTGACTGCTAGAAAACCATGCAGCAATGACTACAGACTGATGAGGAAACAAGCTTTTTGATCCTATACTTAGACAAATCACAAATCAAGCATGAGGATAAAACAAAAACATTTTTTGCATGTAAGAATTCAGAAATAATAAGACAGACATATGATAAGTGGAACAATCAGCATGTTTACTAATAAGAAAGATCTGAAAGTTGCCTACTTACCCAATCTTTCTGGTTAAGTTTAGCTGCTTCATTATATACTTCAGTGGCAGCTTTATGTTTTCCCAAAAGAAATCTGTAGAAGATATATTTTCCGTAATTATTATGTCAAAATTCTGAGAAGCCCCACATTTTACTCATATTTCTTCCAGCAGAGAATTCTGGGAGCTCTTCTCTATGAGCTGGTTTTGCTGGTTTGCTAGCGAGGCTGCCATACACCAACAGCAGAAGTTCTCTTGGTAGGGACTGTGCTGGCAGCTGTTTCTGGGCCTGGTTCTCATTCTACACCAATTTTAGTGAAAGTCTTGTGTAACCTTTTTCCTACCATGTACTATAAATGTTAACCAAAAGGAAACAAGCCAAACAATATACCATGTTAAGCAACAGTTGCCATCATTTATCATCATCCATTAAGGACATGTCCTTCCCTTCCAAGCCCAAGTTTCTTCATAGGGAAAAACTGGGGTCTGTATAAAAACAATGCAGGTATGAATGAAAATGTAGATAAGAAAGTAGAGATGGGAACTCCATGGAACAGAGTACTGGAAAGGGGTTATACCTAATAGTTTACAAAGACTTTGGAGGTTGTTTCCATCTAAGAATCTTCAGCACATTTACTTAACAAATACAGATGCTTCTTGACTTATGATGGTGTTATGTCCAGATGAACTCATCATAAGTTGAAAACATTGTAAGTCAAAAATTAATTTAATACATCTAACCTACTGAACATTATGACTTAGCCTAGCCTCCCTTAAATGAGCTCAGAACATTTACATTAGCTTATAGTCGGGGGGAAAAAAATTATGAAATACCTATTTCATAATAAAGTCTTGAATATCTCATGTAACTTACTTAATACTGTCCTGCAAATGAAAAATAGAATGGCTGTATGTGTACTTGAAGTATGGTTTCTACTGAATGCATATCAACATCACACCTAATCATATAAATTGGAAACATTTTAAGTCAGGAACTGTCTATACTTACTGAAAACTTACTGTGTGTCAATTTTTTTTTTTTTTTTGAGTAGGAATCCCACTCTGTCACCTAGGCTGGAATGTAGTGTGCAGCACACTTATGACCACCATAGCCTCAACTTACTGGGCTCAGGTCATCCTTCCACCTCAGCCTTTCAAGTAGCTGGAACTACAGGCATGAGTCACCACGCCCGACTAATTTTTTGATTTATTATAAAGACAAGGTCTCAGCCGAGCTCGGTGGCTCAGCCTGTAATCCCGCGCCTTTGGGAGGCTGAGGTGAGAGGTTTGCCTGAGCCCGCGGGTTCGAGACCCGCCTGGGCAGCGAGACCTCATCTCTACAATAAATCAAAAAACTAGCCAGGGATGGTGGCACGTGCCTGTGGTTCCAGCTACTTGGAAGGTTGAGGCGAAAGGATCACCTGAGCCCAGCAAGTTGAGGCTATGGTGGTCATGAGCATGCCACTGCACTCCAGTCTGGGCAACAGAGTGAGACACCAACACCAAAAAAAAAAAAGACGAGGTCTTGCCAAGTTGCCCAGGCTGGTCTCGAACCCACGGGCTCAGGCAAACCTCTCATCTCCACCTCCCAAAGTGCTGGGATTACAGGCGTGAGCCACTGCACCTGGCTTATATCAAGTATTATGTCAACTGCTGGAAGAGTAAATGAGAAAAACTATTTGGGTTGCCAATATGATTAGAGGATTTAGGGCACAAGATGTCACTATTTACATGATAAACAGTATCAGCATTCTCCCATCAAACTACAACATGCAGTGTATGAAATACTTAGTTCCTTAATACTAATTATCTCATTTTCTCAAATTTCAAAATCAATCCATGCTCTTCAAAGGGAATCCTTCCTATTATTATACCTATTAAACCACTTTTTCCCTGTGTATGGATCAGGCTGCCAGCAGCAGGCTGTGCTTGAGAATGCATTTTATATAGTTCCCTGGGAGTGCCCTATGCCTCCAGGCTCACAATACTCACAAAGATCTGGCCACCTGCTTGAGGTTATCAACACACTGAGGGTTGAGAACTGCACATGTCTGAAAGAGTTCTAGGGATTCTTGGATATTTCCTTCCAGGCGAAGTATCAATGCTGTCAAGAAACAGGAAATACAGAAAATAAAACCATGTTCTGGGAAGAATGGAACCTGACATCAGAAAAATTGGAGAGGAAGAAAGTGGAAAACCACATCAAGGAGAGCCTTTGGATAACTGTATCCTTAATACAATCTGATATGACTTCAGACAGGTTGAAACAACAAGCAAAGCTACTGACAAGCTAAAAGCTTTTTTATTAATAAGGTAGCTCAAATCTATCTACTTCTCTCTATGCCCAATATCAGCCACATACATAGCAGTTCCTTTGCAAATTATCACACAAACTTATCACAATTAGAACAATTTGGGGCTCCCCCATTATATTATTTCTCTCTCTCTCTAACTCCTGTTTGTTTGTTTTTAGAGATGAGGTCTCACTCTGTCACCCAGACTGGAGTGTAATAGCATGATCATAGCTCACCATAACCCCAAACTCCTGGACTCAAGTGTTCTTCCGCCCTCAGCCTCCAGAGTAGCTAGGACTACAGGCATGCACCACCACATCTAGCTTTTTTTTTTTTGTAGCGATGAAATTTGCTATGTTACCGAGGCTGGTCTCAAATTCCCAGCCTCAAGCAATCCTCCTGCTTCCACGTCCCAAAGAACTGGGATTACAGGGATAAGACACCTCATCTAGTCCAGATGCTTTATTTATCAGGATAATTCAGACTTCTACCTATCGTTTTCAAAGAGAACCCCCAAACGGGGCAAGTGAAATCAATACCTCAAGACTAACAGGAATATTCTGGCACAGAATACAGCAATATTTCAGGCTCTGGTTTCTAGTCAACCAATAATTTTTCCTAGGCCTAAGTTTTTAGAAGACTGTCTGAAGTACTGAAAGAATGGCAGTTGTGATACTGGGAGTAAAAAAGCATTTTTTGCCATGATGTCCTAAATGTGTCAAATCTTACTAATTATGTCAGAAAATTGTTTATTATTCTGAAGACTACAAACACAATGAATGGTAAAGAAAACCATTCATTTACACCAAAGAGTCAAAAAAAATTTCCTGGAAGAACCAAAGATGCTACTTATGGCACTAAAGAGTAGAATTTAAGTCAGTGGTTCCTATATTTGGTTTCTGATGAGTTTATTTTATTCTCTGTTGTATTCTCTGTACCTATAGACTTCTTCCCCTTATCCTCACTTATCTTGCAAAAATCCCCAAGCCTTTCCTCATCTCTTTTAGCTTGACTATAAGCATCTTCTGGCCCTGTAATCACCTCATGAGACAGAAATCCTAAGCATCTATTCCAAAAAAACACTTACCAGAAAATACAAAAGGGGTGAATAATGGTTGCAATTTTTTTTTTTTTTTTTTTTTGAGTTGGAGTCTCACTCTTGTCACCCAGACTGGAGTGCAGTGGCTGCTCCCGGCCACTGCAGCCTCGACCTGCTGGGCTCCGGCAATCCTTCCGCCTCAGCCTTCCGAGTAGCTGGAATTACAGGCACGCGCTACCATGCCCCGTTGATTTTTTGATTTATTTATTTTTATTTTTGGGGGTTTTTTTGAGTTAGAGTCTCTCTCTGTCGCCCAGACTGCAGTGCAGTGGCCGCTCCCGGCCACCGCATCCTCTACCTGCTGGGTTCTGGCAATTCTTCCGCCTCAGCCTTCCAAGTAGTTGGAGCTACAGGCACGTGCTACCACACCCAGCTAATTTTTTTATTTATTGTAGAGATGAGGTCTCACCAAGTTGTCCAAGAGGGTCTCAAACCCACGGGCTCAGGCAATCCACTCACCTCAGCCTCCCAAAGCGTGGGATTACAGGCTGAGCCACCGAGCCCGGCTGGTTACAATTTTTTTAACAGTGCTAGTCATTTCTGAAGTCAAATTTAGCAAAAGAATTATGTTCAGATATCAAAAAAAGATAATACTGAATAAGCCCTTTGTGGAACATTTACAGTCATGCATCACATAACAATATTCCAGTCAATAACAGCCATATATGCCAATGGTGGTGCCATAAGATTATAACGAAGATGATAAATTCCTATCACCTAGTGACATCACAATCACTATAACAGTGCGACGTATTTCTCAACTATTTGTGATGATGCTGGCATAACCAAACCTACTGCACTGCCAATCATATAAAAGTATAGCACATACAATTATATATAGTACAGACTACTTGACAATAATAATAAATGACTATCTTACTGGCTTACACATTTACTATACTATACTTTTTAAACCTTATTTTAGAGTGTATTCCTTCTACTTATTAAAAAAAAAAGTTAACTGTAAAACAGCCTCAGGCAGATCCTTCAGAGGGTGTTCCAGAATGACAGCTCCATGCATGTTATCGCCCCTGAAGACCTTCAGTACACCAAGATGAAGAGGTGGAAGACAGTGATATTAATAATCCTGACTCTGTAGGCCTAGGCTTGTGTCTGTGTGTGTGTGTGTGTGTGTGTGTGTGTGTGTGTGTGTGTGTGTTTGTGTGTGTGACTTAGTTTTCAACAAAAAAATTTTAAAGTAAAAAAATAAATAAAAGTTAAGAAAAAAATTTTAAGTTCATGGAGTCAAAGTTACAGTAAACTTAAGTTAATTTACACTGAAGAAACTGTTAAAATACATTTAGTGTACTCTAGGTGTGCAGTGTTTATAAAGTCTATAGTAGTATACAGTAATCCCTAAGCCTTCACATACACTCACCACTGACCAACTTCACTTACCCATAGAAACTTTCAGTCCTGCAAGCTCCATTCCTGGTGAGGGCCCTATACAGGTGGACCATTTTTTATCTTCTATACCCTACTTTTACTGTAACTTTTCTATGTTTAGATACACTTACCACTGTGCTACAACTGTCTACTGTATTCATTACAATATATGTTGTACAGGTTTGTAGCATAGGAGCAACAGGATAGAGCATATAGCCTAGGTATATAGCAGGCTCTACCATTCAGCTCTGTATAAGAACACTATGATGAGCTGGGTGTAGTGGATCACACCTGTAATCCCAGCACTTTGGGAGGCCAAGGTGAGAGGACTGCCTGAGTTCAGGGGTTTGAGACCAGCCTGGGCAAGTTGGTGAGATCTCACCTCTACAATAAATCAATGGTGGCACATGCCTGTGGTTCCAGCTACTTGGAAGGCTGAGGCAGAAAGATCACCTGAGCCCAGCAGGTGGAGGCTGCAGTGGCCATAAGCATGCCACTGCACTCCAGCCTGGGCAACAGAGTGAAGACTCTGACCCCCAAAAAATAAATATATATATATCAGAACATATTTCCATTTTTGTTTCACGGTGCCTGACTGTACTTGACTTTAAGTATTTCATAAGTTGTTTGCACTTTTTCCAAGAACCCAGGCAAAGTGTATTTCTCTAGCAAGAAGAGAAGAAATCTGTCTTACCTTGAACATAGATAGCATATTCACACAACCCCTGAGTCTTCTGAAGTTGTTCTTTGATAACTGCCTGAAAGAGAAAGAAAAATACTTCTGAGCAGAGGTTAAGTTTCCTCAAGTGTCTAAGAAAAAGTTGACATGGACAAGGGGAATACGTAAAAAACCACCCGAAGTACTAACAATGCCTAATAAAGTAGTTACATTTAGTTTTTAAAATTTAAATTCTCAGCTGGGCTCAGTGGCTCAGCCTGTAATTCCAGTACTTCAGGAGGCCAAGGCAAGTAAATTACCTGAGCCCACGGGTTCGAGACCAGCCTGGGCAACTTAACAAGATCTCATCTCTACAATAAGTAAAATATTAGCCAGGTGTTGTAGCATGCACCTGTAGTTCCAGCTACTTGGAAGGCTGAGGCAAAAGGATCACCAGAGTCCAGCAGGTTGATGCTGAGGTGGCTGTGAGTGTGCCACTACACTCCAGCTTGGGCAACAGAGTGAGACTCCAACTCAAAAAAAAAAACAAAAAAACAAGAAAATGACAAAAATGAGGTAGAGACTATATGTGGCCTGCAAAGCCTAAAATATTTACTATCTGGCCCATTACAGGAAAAGTTTGCCAACCCCTTTCTAAAACCTAACTAAGCAAGCTAAGAAAAGATTTCCAAGTAATATCACAAAAGGAAAAGAAAGAGAACCTTTCAAGATTCATACTGTAGCTGCCTTCAGTACCCCAAAAATAAAAATAAAGAAATAAAGACAATAAAAAGATTAATTCTGGGACTAAATGTCATTAGTTCTGTGCATTGCCATAGGCATAAATGTCACAGATATAAAATTAAAACCTTAGAAGGGTCAGGTGTGGTAACTCGAGCCTGTAATCCCAGCACTTTGGGAGGCGGAGGTGAGAGGATTGCCTGAGCCCAGGGATTTGAGACCAGCCTGGGAAACTTGGTGAGACCTTGTCTCTACAATAAATCAAAAAATTAGCCAGGCATGGTGGCGTGCGCCTATAGTTCCAGTTACTTGAAGGTTGAGGTGAAAGGATCGCCTGAACCCAGCAGGTCAAGGCTGCGGTGGCCATGAGTGTGCTACTGCACTGCAGCCTGGGTGACAGAGAGATTCCAACTCAAAAAACAAAAAACAAAAAAAAAAAACAGCAAAAAACAAAAACAAAACCTTAAAAGAATCATAAAGCTCCGAATGCCAAAAAAGACAACACCAAGGCTATATTGTGTGTTTTTCTTTTCTTTTTTTCTTTTTATTTCAATGCATATTAATATTACTACCGTCTGCCAGCAGGTTTGTAACATATATGGTAGGTGACCAATGATATAAACAGAGAAGGGGAAAAACAAATGGTTTTTTCATAATAAGAGAATTATAAAATTCAATGAAATACCATTTTTCGCCTATCCAAATATCAAAATTAGATGATATGCTGAGCTGAACATCTGTCTCCACCAGAAGATCAACAAGTCTCAAGACTGGCTACCTATTCAGTTTGGTCTTGACATGAAAAGACATGGGGAACACACCTGAACCTAACCCACATCTGCCGTCAAACCTAGCCAACCCACAGGCAATCTGAAAGCCCATGAGCAATTTTAAAATGTCTGTCTGTTGGGGACCACTGAAATTTTGAGGTTGTATGCTAAACATCCCATCATAACAAAAGCTAACAAATACACAAAATGTGGGGAAACAGGAATTCCTATATCATCACTGGAATTTAAACTGCCACTCTGTGTGACACTGTTAGTTGACCACCCCACACCCTGCCTTTCATTTTCTCTATCATTGCAGTCTCTTACCTTGCATGCTTCATAATCTTTCCGGATATAGTGAAGATGAATCAACCAGTTCTGCTTCTCCAAAATAGGAAACTCTGGAGCTAGGGAGCATATTTTGACCAAAAAAAACACAACACAGTCATTAGATTTTCTTCTTTAGCACTGTCCTCATGTCTAAACTAACCATAAGCATATTGCAATATCACATTATATATTCTTCATGCTGAACACAAGAATATATTGTACTGCATAAAACTGCATAGGCTATTAAACTAGGAGATACTTGTCCTACATGCTGAATATGTTTGAGTTTTTGTGGCTTATAATGTCAGTTTTTCAAATGATATTAGCCTGTAAAAACATAAAAATCATCCTTTTTCTATATCTCTCTCTCTCTCTCTCTCTCTCTCTCTCTCTCTCTCTCTCTCTTTTCCCCCTGGCTATAGAAGATGAATAAAAAGACTTTCTGAAGAAAGTTTCAGGAATGTTACAAACAAAATATATAAGATAGTCAATATCACATCTCACAGATCAGAGTACCAAAAAATTTTTAAATAGTTAAACACAATCTTTAGAAATAGTTCAAGCCGGGTTCGGTGGCTCAGCCTGTAATCCCAGCACTTTGGGAGGCTGAGGTGAGTGGACTGCCTGAGCCCATGGGTTCGAGACCCGCCTGGGAAACTTGGCAAGACCTGATCTCTACAATAAATCAAAAAATTAGCCGGGCGTGGTAGCGCACGCCTGCAGTTCCAGCTACTTGGAAGGCTGGGGTGGAAGGATCGCCGGAGCCCAGCAGGTCAAGGCTGCGGTGGCCGGGAGTGGCCACTGCACTCCAGTCTGGGTGACAGAATGAGACTCCAACTCAAAAAAAAAAAAAAAAATTAATTAAGATATTACTTTTCTGTGATAACAAAGAGTAAAAGGATCTATATAAACCTCAGAATAGTGAAGACCTCAATGGAAGGACAGGGATTAGGAAAGATAAAAAGGAGACTTCAACTCTTTAATGCTTATTTCTTAAAAAAAAAAAAAAAGCTTTAAAGTAAACATGGCTATATGTTTTTATTTATTAAATCTGGCCAGTTAGTATATGCGTGTTTGTATTTTTTCTGCACTTTAATATATGTTTGAGATAGTCCTTAATTTTTAAAATGGAAAACAAAGGGAAGAGCTGGGAAAGAGAGGGAAATGATTGTCAATCCATTTCTTGATGTTCCAGAACTTATGGAGAAACAACTTACAGAAAACCTAAGACACACGTCCATAATATGACAGGAAGGGAAAAGAGCTAACTGTAACCCAGAATTAATGTTGCCCAAACACAAAAATTAGAAAGTAATGCTGCTCACTGCTTCCCACAAATAGGAAATGTCAATGGAATTTGTAAGATAAAATTATGACAGAAAGTATGAATATAATCTTATATGCCAGGAAAAAGATAAAATTTTAAGCAAATGACTTGACTCTTCATCTTCCAATAACACACATTCTCTTAATAGAACCACCTTCTAGTCAGCAGGGCCAATTTGAGATTCTTCTAAGACTTGTTTCCTTTCTTCTCTTTCCCCAGGTCTCATCAATCACCAGATTTTAGCCATTCACATTCTGTTTAACCACTTTCAGAATTAAATTTCTTCTAAAAGCCACAAAATCACCAAAATTAAAGACATACGTGTGTGTGTGTGTGTGTGTGTGTGTGTGTGTGTGTGTGTGTGTGAAGTGAGTAAAGTGTACCATAGTGAATAGTTCTGGGAAGTGGATTACTGAGAACTCTTGGACCAAGTCTCAACTGCATGGCTACCTCCCTCTGTCACTCACCCACCTAAGGAAAAGCATAAAAGAGAAGGAGGCACTGAAACCTTTTGAGTTTATAATATCACTAAGTATCATTTTTAGGCTTCTAGGGCCTAAAAAGAGAACACTTACAAATGCTAATTTCCAAGCCTTCCCTATTATTAAAATCTCACAATAAAAGACCAGTCATGTTTTATGATCCCTGCATGAACACCAGAGGAAAAAAATGTTCAATCTGTAAGGCAGCATAAGTGCCCAGAGGCTCATGAAATGGAGCTATAGGGATCAGTAGAAGAGAAGGCTCCACCAAATCCAGGCACTAAAGGCCATTTCACACTCCTGGAGATGTAGTTAGCCCAAAAGCTAGAAGAACTTTAGTTTCATCAAAGATTTTAGAGACCATTTCAATGTCCCATTATTGTCCTATTACCAAATATGTGACCTTGGGAAGTTTACAGTTTCCTTATTTATACAACAGAGACTCATTCACTCATTAACTAATATTCATGTGCCAGGCATTGTTCACACTGGGGATACAGAAGTAAAAAAAACTGACTTCTTGATTTCAAGAAGCTTATAATGGGGGTAAAGTGCTACCAGAGGGATAGACAATAAAATAAAATGTTATACTTATGAGTAATATTTTTCTATGGAGAATAAAAAAACAGGAAAGAGGGACAGAAAGTATAGGGCAGGGGATTACACTTTGAAATAGGAGGGTCAGGGAATCGTCATCTTCATAGATTCTCATCCTCATAGAGTTGTAAAGATTGAATGACAATGTATATTAAGGAAGTTCAAACAGTGCCTGGTACATAGTAAGCCCTAAAGAAGTGTTAGCTATTGTTGTTGCTGTATTTTTAATGATCATTATTATTTAGTTATTCTCACAGATGAGGGAATTATGAATACCTTAGAAATCCCTAGAGTCTAAATCCTAAATTTACAATGAAAATTTTACCTGTAAATGTGTAAGCTGAATTTCTTGTAGTGTAAATCATCGCTCACTCTAACTCTCCCTATGGATAGGAATACTGGTTCTTATATACTTTCTCAAGGTATTATGAGAATTACTGTTTGAAAGATCCTTCAAAAAAGATGGACATGTAAATGCAAAGCACAGACTCCTCTACTTTACAACAAAGCATGGTGGTCAACTCCAGTGCTAACTTTAGGAACCCATGTTGCCTCAGAAGTCAGGTAGCCTCCAATGAGGTGAAGACAAGGCAGTACCTCCCAGCAGGTTGTAAAACAGACCTCAGTCATATCCTAGCTCCCACACTACCCCTCCACTATCACAAAGGCAGTACAGGTGGAAGGCTGGCAACCTAGCAACAATATTCCCTGGCCCCTTATGTTCTCTTGCCCCATTCTATTCTTTTGTGATATCTCTTCCCCTTCTTTCCCCCTTTAAGGATACACCTGAAATACTTTAAACAATCCCATAACTGAATAAACATCACACCTCGAGAATTCTTCCTATAATTTGTCCTAGGTGCTAAATTATCTTAGGAATGGCCCTAATACAAACCTCTACATTAAACTTTAATTAATGCTAGTGATAGTACCCTGGCTATATGAGGGCTAAGTAGAAAACTACTGTGGTTCAGATTTTTAGTTGAAAAATTTCCTAAAGTGATTAAGGCTTCTATAAGTATTGTAAATGAAGCTTTCTTTTTTAAAGGCTCTCTTCCAGGACTAGCAGACATGTAACACATGAAAGTTTTCATATGTAGAATTCCAATCTTGATTCTGTACCAGCCTTCTATGGGACCTAGGACAAGTTATTCAACTTCTCTGAGCTTTCTTTTTATCCTCCTATATTTTTCACTGGAAAATATGAAAAATCTGAAAGTAGCCATTCAATAGATGTTAATTTCCTCATGCCAAGTAGAAATTAAATACTTTTCTATCTCAAGATGATATCTGGGACATCAAAAGATATTAACAAATCTTGAATCTAAGTGTAAGACATTTTTATTATTATCATTGTGAGCCCTGTATCAATCAGTCAGCCTAATGAGAAACCACTTGAGGATTGGAAACAGAAGAAATTTAATGCAGAGAACAGGTGATGGAAGAAATGAGAGACCCGACAGAAAATGGTGTGACAAATCAGAGGTTTGCACAAGCAAAAACTCACTATTACTCCCAGGCCTGAAGGATAAAGGGAGGAAATGTGTTGATACCAATATCAGGGCCGAAGTTACCTGAAGGATGCTGAAAACAAGATAGCCTAACTGGCAGAAGCAACAGGAGAGAACCTTCCAGAGACAGCCCAGCAGCTCCAATTTTTCCAAGAAAAGAGAAGGGGGTGGGGAGGGAGGCCTGTCTTCTCCTTCCTCTTGCCCTCAAATCTGCCAGTTCCTCTTACTTGCTATTCCAACCAGAAATTGCTGACACAGGAGTCTGGGAAGCAAAGGAGCCTGCAAGGGTCAGCTCCAACGCCGAGCACAGAAGAGAAGGCGACGAATGAATTCGAGGGCAAACAGGCCCAGGAGGAGCAGACACATCGACTCTGTACAGGAACGTAAATGATGATGGAGGAGGAGGAAGAGACTCAAGGACACATGCTGGAAAGCAGGCTTTTAATTTTTTAATTAAATTGCTGCTATCCAGCTTGTTTGTTTCTCATGAACTTAAAATGGGATAAGAATGGAAAAAAGTCTTAAAAAAGATCAATTAATTACATTTTTACTGTATATCCTAGATTATTTAAAATTATTTATTTCCTCAAATCAAAATTTATTAATTAATTATACTTTATTCTTTTTAGGGGTGTGTGTGTGCACATGCACACATGTGTGCACAAGCATATTTCGAAGTGTTTTGTCCCCTATTATTCCACTGAATGTTCCCATGAGGCCAGTGAATCACACAATTCAGGACTAGTCCCATATTACAAATGAGGAAATTAAGGTTCCAGAGGTTAAGTAATCTATCTACATTCAATAGCTAGTTAATCGAAGAGGCAGGACTACAACCCAGGTCTCCAAGGTTACTCATTAAACTTTACCAAGTCTCTTCCCAATTGTAAAGACTTTCTAATTTTAAATGTAAATGTTTGGGCTGTCAACTAAATATAACTTAGCAACACAAAATTAATAATAATTTTTAAAGCTTTTCTATTATTAAAAAAGGCAGAAAAGGACTTTTAGCGTATTAAAGTAGCAAGATTTTCAAATGGTTTTTAAAAATAACTAGTTGGTTTTCTTAAAAAATACATACTTATGGTAAAACAAAATTCAAAAGGAATATATTCAATAAAAGACTCTCCATTCCTCCCCATCACCAGAAGTAAATAGCT